GATAGGGAAGGTGAAACATCTTTCCCCATTTTTATTTAATTTTTGTATCTCCCCCTCTTCTTATTTGTCACTTAGTGGCGTCCGTGTGTATTGGGGGGGGCTGCTTTTCCAGCTCTTCGTGCTCGTTTGCTTTTCGCTGGGGGTGGGGGTGGGGGGTGCCTTGGCGTGTCTCCCCCTCACACCCCGCGTGTCTGCGCCTGTGAGTGGGTCTGTGTGCCGCCCAGTGTTCGTAGTGTTGTCGGCGGTGTTTCTTTTTTCCGTTGGCTGTACTGTTTTTTTTTTTTCCAATTTTGTGTGCGTGTTGTTTTGTGTGCCGTTAATTTGTTAGTGGCTGCGCATCATTTTTTGTTTTGTTTTACGTCTTTCTTGCGTGCGTGTATGTGGGTGTGAGGGGAGGTGGAGGGAGACTTGCCGGTGCTGCAGCTGCCCGCATGAAACGATGCATGTAGGTATGGGCGGGGGGCACACACACGCACACACGGACGCCTCCGATGGGTGACTCCGGGAGGCTGTGTGTAATGAAGAAAGAACGTCGATTGAGAAAATATCGGCGTCTTATTAGAGTGCAAACACTAAACGAAGAGGAGTGAAACCAAAAAAAAAACATTAATAACGCGTATCTACACGCAAAGCGATGCGACTTGGCTGCGAGATGGGCGATAAAAAGGAAAGAGGAGTAGTGAGAGCAAAGGCAAAAGGTACATTTGTTATCTCCACATATTATCTTATATACATGCGTGTATTGAATGTGTGGATACACACACGTGTCCCATTTTTCCGCCTGATATTTGACGGATTTGTCTATCTATATATCTATATATGTCTATGCCCTTTGACGCGCTCCCCTTTTAGTGCGAGGCGTGGAGAGGAAATTTACCGTCACTTTGTGGACCATATGCATGACGTGCGCCTCTATGTGTAGTTTTGCTTTTTCTTTTTCTTGCGTTGGACACTATTGTTTTGTTTTTTTATCTTTTTATTTCATTGTTGTTGTTTCATCAGGGGCTGCACTGAGTAATAACTGAGAGAGGGATCGGACAAAGACACACACACACACACATACACACATACACAAAGAAAAACGAGAAAAGATCTGAGGAAAGGATAAACAGAAGTAAGCGGCACAAGCGACACAGGAAGTCGAGGGAGAGGGTGCAAGGAGGCGAGGGCCGTTCATACCGACACTGCGCCGCAACCAAAAGAATTTATGCTGCGCGTTCGTCATCAGGTGCTGAGCTCGTCCGCGGTGGCTCTGCGTCAGCAATTCAGTGCACTTCTGTTTGGCAGTCGACTACAGGCGACCTCCGCAGTTAGCGGCGACTTTTCACATGTTACACACAACACAGTGTGGGGCCTTTGGAACGAAGGCAACCTCTTTTCCCTCTCCGTCCCTGAGCTTGCCTTTTTTCTGCAGGAACACTGCAAGGTAGCAAATGTTGACCCACGTGCGAAAAAGAGTGCACTCGTGCGGCAGGTGGAAGAGATTCTTTCCGCTGAGCAGGCGAGCATGACTGTACAGCAGGAGGACAACCCACACGCGGTGGTTGTCACAGACTATGATAAGGCGGAGGAGGGACTAGATGAGGCCGATGAGTACGGTGACTGGGGGGCTGAGCCTGGCTTTGAGGACAGGCGGGAATTAGACTTTATGGAGTTAAGTGCGGGTCGCATGGGTGAACGGTATGACCCGCTTGTCCCTCGCTCTTTTCAGCTTATGCACAGCGATGTCTCAAGCGATGTGGGCATTGCGTCCATCGACCCCAGTAAACTCCCAGGTCATAGCAAAGTAAAAACCGCCTTGACACCCGTGGACGTGAATCCAAATGATGCGAACAAGATGCACTTTCGAAGTGCCTTTGAGTGGTGCCTTATGAATGTTTGGAATATGAACATGTCAGGTGAGTTGAACATTGGTGCCGGCAAGGTGCTGTACTACCGTCAGGTGGCGAAGCAAAACCGCAACGTCATGCCACTCTGGACCCTTCAGCGGCACCTCTATGCACAGCACCCGTATGCCTGGTTTGCCATTGCCAGTGAATCAAATGTGGCAGCCATGGAGAGTCTTGCCAGCAAGCTCGGGATGCGACTTGTACAAGAGCCTACAACGAGCTACAAGGTGACCATCCGACGCATGAATGAGTTTTTTGATTGTGAGTTGAACGGGCAGCTGAAGTGCACCATGTTGAACAAGCCGTGGGATCGCTTTTTGGTTTCACACTACGTTCGTAGCAAAATGCCCGATCTGCGGTATGTTGTGCGAGCACGGCACTCGGTAAAGAAGCGGGTGTCCGACGCCTATCTGGAGACGGACATTCTCCGCAGCACACGGGACTCCGTTCAGTCTGTGCTATCCCCAGAGTTAGGGGATGTCGTGTACTGCTGTGAGCGTGTCATTCGCAAATGGGCGATGCGCACGGCGACGGGGGTTACGTTGCAGCTTGTTGAGACGAAACGCACCCCGCTTATCATCACGAAGGCCGGCGACGAGGGCGAGCGGCTGGAGTACGAGTGGATTGTCCCGTTGCCACAGCAAGCTGAACGTATTGACGTGGCCTCCCTCACCGACGAGTTGTGGGAGCACGGAAACACGCTTGCCGAAGCGCTGGAGGAGGGAATGGAGGAGCTTATGGCGCACACCATGACTGCCGTCTCTGCCTACTGAGGCCTGTAGTAATAACCGACGAAGATATATTTTTATTTAATATGTGTGTGCGTGTTAGTTGTGCAAGAGGTGAAAGGCTCCTTTTTTTGTGTGTGTTTCATCTTCTTCCTGCGCTGGAGAGGGAGAGGGAGAGAGAGAAAGAGAAAGGAGGAGGAGAAAGGTGATGAAACGGTGGAAGGGTTTGAAATGAATTGCCTTCGCAGGCTTATTTTAACAGTGGCCTTCATTTGCATGCATGCACAGATGCACAACATCAATTTGTATTTTTGATGTGTACACCGTATCTGTGAACGCGTTGTTTTGGCTCAGAGCGCACGGGACTGTACTCGCATTATTTTTGTGCTCTTCACCGTTGCGTTGTGAGGATACGGAAGGAGCGAGGGAGAGGGGCCAAAGGGAAGCAAGCATAAAGAACAGAAGGAAAAACACAAACACACACATACACAAAAAAAAAAAAAAAGATGCGTGCACGTGTGTATGTGTGTGTTTGTCTTTGCTGCCTGTTGTTCGGAGTCCTACGGTGAGGCGATTGCATGGGGAAAGCTTCCTTGCATACGCAGAGTTATTTACATCTATTTGCCTATATACTTATATATACTTATATATATGTGTGTGTATGCGTATAGATAGATGTAAATATGCGACTGTGTCAGTGTGTAATGATTTGTGTATGGCATGTGATGTTACATGTATACGACAAACACACACACACAAAGATGGAAGGAGGATGGTGGTGCCGAATTTATGTCGAAATCTCCATTATTATTATTATTATTTTGGAACGAAAAAAGAAAAAAAAAAGAATGCGTAATACGTACAATTTTGAGGCGGGGTGTGAGCCGTTTTTCCTCGTCTGCTTTACTCTCTAATTGCCGTTGTTTTTGTTCGTTTGCTTTGCTGCGGTGGTGGGGTGCCCTGTAACGTGTTTCTGTGCTTTCCTCCTTGGCAGAGTCTATAGAGACGCGCTTTCTTTCATTCCCGCTTTTTCTTATTTGCCGTTTTCACGTCCCGACAGCACCAGGCGTCACAAGCTGAAGTCTCTTGAGCGATTTGTTTTTTCTCCACATCAGGAGTGTGTTGTAGTGGGATTAGATTTAGGTTCAATAAAACGAAAAAGATATCAAACAACAACGACGACAAAGGGGTTAGGGTCAGTGACGGCTTCAGCAAGCTGTCATAGTGTGTGCTGGTATTGTGTCAACAGTAGGGAGGCAAGGCGGAGGCCTGCAGTGGACACACGAGACGGCAGGAGGAAGCGCCGTCGTCTAAGATATAGAGGATAACAGAAAACACAGACATCCAAGGTTGGAATAAACAAGCTAAAACAAACGTACGTCCTAAGCCTGATTTTGTAGTTGATCTTCTTGTTTACTTTACCCTTTGTTTTTGTTTTTGTTTTGTTTGCTTGATTGTTTAAATTCAATTGGTAGTTTTCCTTGTTTGTCGTTTTTGGCCGTGTCTGCGTGTTTTTTTGTTTGTTTGTCTTTTAGCTTGACTAATTATTCGATTTATTTTGTGAGGAGGACGCGCCAAGGCAGGTGTGCGAAACACATACGGAGTGCACATATTGCGGACGGGGCAATCTCTTTTCCAGCCTTGTACGCCAAGTGATAGAGAGAGTGCGTGTGAGGAGTTGCAGAGACATTAACCGGGATCAATCGAGATAAATCTACTCAGACAATAAAACTGAAAGGTGAACCTTGTTCGTATCTTTGCGTTATATATATTTGTTTCTTGGGCGGCTGTCTGGGGGGACTGATATCTTGTTAAGCTGTGCGTCCGTGTTGACAGGCTGGGGTTTGGTTTGGCGTGACGCGCCTGCGCCGTGCGTTACGTGTGTGGTTAAAGAGCGATGCCGCCAAAGGGGCCGAAGGTTGCACCAAAGGCGGGGGGCGCGCGCAAGGGTCCCCCCGCCGCGATGCTGGCGAAGCTGAAGCAACATCTGGAGAAGCAGAAGGAGGAGGAGGAGCGCAGGCTAAAGGAGGCTGAGGAGGAGGAACGACGATTGCGTGAGGAAGAGCGACTCGCGGAGGAGCAGCGGAAGTTTGAGTTGGCTGAACGCGCCCAGGAGAAGCAGCGCCGCAAGGATGAGGAACGCCAGCTCCGCAAGGATTCAAAAAAAGGCGTGAACAATGGGGCGTTGGAGCGCATGGCGGCAGCGGGGTTTATCCTCCCTGATGTTGACAAGATACGTGAGGAGCAGCGGCAGGAGCGTGATAAGCCGAAGCGGAAGCCGATGCCAAGGCCAAAGGTGGCAGCCCCGAAGCGGGAGGAAGTCGTGCAAGCGTCTCCAGCAGCAGGGGTAGAAGAAACAGACGAAGAAGCGGAGCAGGATGAGGATGATGGCGAGTTAACAGTGGCAACTGAGTCCGAGGAGGAGGTCGATGAGGACGACTGGGAGGCACTGATGGAGCGCGACGACCGCCGCGCTGCACGCCACACTGAAAACGAGCGTATTCGTCTGGTGCGCGTTGAGCGAATTGAGCACCAGAAAAAAGCGCGCGAGGAACGTGCCCGCACCCGCGCAGAGGCGGCAGCAGCAGAACGTGCAAAACAACACGTGCTTGAGAGTGTCGCCAGCCTTCGCTCTCCCATCTGCTGTGTTCTTGGTCATGTGGATACGGGTAAAACCAGCCTATTGGACCGCATTCGCTCCACAAATGTGCAGGGTGGCGAGGCGGGCGGTATTACGCAGCAGATTGGTGCCACATTCTTCCCACGCGAGGCTCTTGTTGGCGCAACAGCGGAAATTAACACTAAATACAACCATGATTTGAACGTACCAGGGCTCTTGGTGATTGATACGCCCGGTCACGAGTCCTTTACTAACCTGCGAAGCCGCGGTAGCAGCCTGTGTGACATTGCCATCCTTGTGGTGGACATTATGCATGGCCTGGAGCCCCAAACCCGCGAGTCCATTCGTCTCTTGCGTCAGAAAAAATGCCCCTTTATCATTGCCTTGAACAAGGTGGATCGACTCTACTCCTGGAAAGCAAACGAAAACATGGATATTGAACAAACACTCTCTAAACAGTCGGAGAGTGTTCGCAGCGAGTTTGAAACGCGCGTGAATCAGGTGAAGCAGGAGATGCAGGCAGAGGGCCTCAACTCGGAGTTGTACTACCGGAACAAAGACATGCGGAAGGTGGTTTCTATAGTTCCCACCTCCGCAAAGAGTGGTGAGGGTATCTCGGACCTCCTCCTCCTGGAAATTCAGCTTGTACAACAGTTTATGGAGGGTAAGGTGACGTACAGGGATGACCTACAGTGCACCATACTTGAGGTGAAGCCTATCACAGGGTACGGTGTGACCGTGGATGCAATCCTTATCAATGGTGTGCTGCACGAAGGTGACACAATATGCCTGTGTGGCCAAAATGGCCCTATTTTCACGCAGATTCGAGCTTTGCTTACTCCACAGCCCTTAAGGGAACTGCGGGTGCGAGGAGAGTACATCCATCACAAGGAAATGAAGGCAGCGATGGGCATTAAGATTGCCGCCAATGAGTTGGAGTTTGTTATCCCAGGCACCCCTTTACTCGTACTACATCCTGGCGATGACAAGGATAAAATTGCGCATGAAGTTATGAAGGATACCAATAAGATTACGGATCAGCTAAGTCCTGACGGTATTGGTGTGACAGTGCAGAGTTCGACGCTTGGCTCGTTGGAGGCATTGCTGGCGTATTTAAAGGATATGAAGATTCCCGTCGCGAGTGCCTCTATCGGTCCACTACACAAACGTCACATGGTTCAACTGCTCTCCATAAAGCGGAAGGCGCCGCGCTACGCGGTGGTGTTGGCATTTGATGTGCAAGTCTCTGAAGATGCACGCGAGATTGCAAAGAAGAACGACATTGACATCTTTGAGGCGAAAATTATTTACCATCTCTTTGACATGTTTACACGCTACGTTGCTGAGTACGAGAGCCGTGAAAAGGAACGGGCCCGTGTCATTGCCGTCTTCCCAGTGCAGCTTACAATCATTGATGATGCCATTCATAAGTCGGACCCAATCATTCTTCCAGTGAAAGTTGAGCGCGGGCAGCTTCACCCCGGCACTCCCCTCGCGATCATGCGGGGCGAGACGCCACTGCTGATCGGCCGTGTCATGACCATTGAGCGTGACAATAAGAGCATCCCCATCGCCCGCATGGGGCACGAGTGTGCGGTGAAGATAAACTCGGGCGAGTCAGGCGTGGTGTACGATCGCCAGTTTGATAAAACAGACTCGGTGTTCTCGCTCATCACACGACCCTCCGTGGATGCGATCAAAAAGTTCAAGGACGAACTCTCAGAAGACGATATCAATCTCCTGGCGACGCTTATAAAGGCGCTAAAGGTTCCACCTCGGTAAGCGCCGTGCAAGCAAAGGAAAAATAGAAAAGAAAAAATATTTGCCGTAGCAATCCTACGCTTGACTGCTGAGAGGTCTCTTATTCTTCTTTTGTTGACCCGTAAATACGCACGCACGCAGCGGCGCCAACAGAAGCGAGATCTGAACGGGGGGTGAATGGAGGCGGCAACAAAGCCAGAAGTCAGGGGTTGACTTGGGCGATGGAAAGCACACTTGAGGGCGGGGCGGCGGTGAAGCGGAGGAGGGGGGTTGCGTAATCGGCTGGTGGCGGAAAGCGACGAGAAAAGCTCTGAATAAAAACACACACACGGCAACAGCGGCGAATTGCACACAATAGCAACAACGACAAACAACAAAAAAAAAAGAAAAAAAAGATGAGCAGAGGCACACGCGCGCATGGCACGTCTTGCCACAAGGGAGGGATACGCGTCAGTGAAAAGCAAAGGAATGAATGAAAAGGGGCACGCCGGTGATGCTTATCTGCGTCTTTCTGATTTTGTGTGTGCGCCACGCCTCAACGCCTGAATCGAAGGAATGCGAAGAATACTCCCGCGTGTTTATTATTATTATGATTATTATTATTATCATTTATTTTTTTTTGGTTTTATTGGACCGCTGATGACTTTTCTTCCGCTACCGCCACTACCAGTTTGAGGTGGGCGCGTTGCTACACGGTGCAGTCCTCACCGCCCACTAAATCCTGAAGAGGTAAATCATTCAAGCGACAGCAAGACGAAGTATAATAATTAAGAAAACTAATAAAAAAAAAACGAAAACGGAGAAATGCTCGACAAACATAAGGACAAATGTAGCAGATAAGAGGAGAAAACTTCTGCCGCTGTACCCTTCTCTCTCAACCCATCAAACACCAGATATACAATTACATATTTTAAACTTATAAAGTTTCTACCATCCCCCCATTTATGTGAAGATGTCATGTGAGTGTCTGGGTACGTCTTATATTCGTCTCTACTTGACTGCGTAAGCATCTGTTTATATGATGTACATTGTTAATATGTGGATGTCTGCTTTCACATTTTTGTTCTGTTCTCTGACTTGCACAGCCGTGAGGGTTGCACACGGCTAGGAGAAGGCTACTATCACAGGAAGGGAGGAACGCCACAGGTGGGGCAGGGGGGGTGGGGGCGACACGTTGCACCCAACTCTGTGGACCGCTGAGGAGGAAAACTTGAAAATAAATTGTGTGTGATGCAGCGAGATCGCGTTTCTGTGCTTGACGAGAGGGCTTGGCAAGAGATTAAGTACCACGCAGTGGAGATGACGGAGCGGGTGGAGAAGCGTCTAGACGACCTGCGTGAGTTGCGTGCGGCCGTGCGGGATCATCTTGCGCTGCTGAACGTGCGGGAGGACGACACGACCCATCAGCTTCACGTGGATGTGAACAGGCTTGTGCAGCAGCTTCGTCAGCGTGAGGAGGAGGTCGTCCAGATGGTGCGGGACGACTGCGCCCTTCAACGCGCCCAGCTCGAGGGGCTGCTGGAGAGCCTTGAAGTCAGCGAAAAGCAGCTGGAGGCGGAAAAGCCGCAGTTTGAAGAGCGAGGGCGGGACGTCGTTGAACGTGCCGCTACACGACGACACCTGGCGGATCTTCTTAAACAATCTGACTTTTTTGCCGTGCCGGATATGCACTGTTACATCGTGACGGCTTCCCCTGTGGTTGCCGAGCGCCACTTGACATGTGTGCGTGAGCTGGCACCTTCCTTTTTTCCCTCTGCGCTCACTGTTCCCATTACGGACAACATCGTTTATCTCCCGTTGGAAAGTGGCGGAAAGGAAGACGCATCTGTGGAGCAGAAACGTGCATCTATGGCATTGCCAAGCGGCATTCTTTACTATCTCGCCACTGCAGGCCATACAAGGTCCTTTTGTAACCCGGTGGAGAGTGATGCCGTGCGCATCCAGTGCAACGCTCCGATTCTGCTTGGGCAGCTTTCATCCATGTGCGACGCTTGGAATCCGACTCGTAATGCAGCTTCAATACGGCAGCATATGCCTTGTTTCCGCACAGCTTCACAAGAGAATGCCCGAATAGAAATTGACTTTGGGGACAGGCGATGGGTGGAATGTACCGCTTACGCACTCCGTCACGGACACGCCTCGGAGCACGCAGCACTACGCTCCTGGCGCCTGCTTGGTAGCCGTGACAAAATGCAATGGGTTGTGTTGGATGAACAACGGCGTAATGGCATACTTGGGACCTCGCCGTTTAACGTGGCAACTTTTAACATTGACGAGGAAGAGGTCTTTTCCAAGATGAGGAATATTTATTACTTCACTTCTGTCTTGAGATGTGCGTTTCGGTACATCGCACTGGAACTTGCAGGTCCAGATGCTGTGGGAAAGCATCACATGGAGCTTGGAGGGATAGAGTTCTATGGATGTCTAGTGGACACTCTCTCGCTGTGAATACAAGTGGTATGCGGATTCTGCTTTGTTGTTCTTTTTATTGTAGTTTGCCTGTTTTTTTAAAAAAAATTATTTTTATTTTTTTGGTTTTTGCGTGACTTTGTGTGTCTCCATATATTTGTTTCATTTTCCTCCCTTTTCTATATCCCTTTCTTTACGTGTATCGATGTCAATGGTCTCCTCTAGTCACTGAGGTGTGAGGGGGGAAAAATAACTGAGACAACCGCGTTGTGTGTGTGTGTGTGTGTGTGTGTGTGTGTATGCGGGGGGGGGGGGGGGCACCGCCCCTCTGTGCTTTTGTTTCTGTCGCTGCATTTGTGTCTGTGTTCGACTTTGCGCACACCTTCTCTGCTTGTTATTTTTGGTACTTTGATGCCTCCGCCCCTTCCTTCGGTTCTTTTCTGGGCACCGCAACACTCATATTAGATGTCTTGCCAGGTACCGATGCTGCAGGCCCCGCACTTTACGTACGACGTCTTACCTTCGCAGTCTCGATTGACGTCAGCGGTGGTGTCTGCTTACAACGAGGTGTCGGTTGCCGATCGTGTCGTTCGGGCATGTGCATGGACGGACAACTCAGCCGACTTTGTCTTCGGCGATGGCACGGTCCTTTCATTTTGTGACGAAATGCAAACATTTGTCGCCTTTCCTCCTCTGGTGCCTGCACTTCGGGGGCCGCAGGGTGTACGTGGCAGCAGTGGCCACATTGACGCTCGCAACAAGGGCGACATGGACATCGCGGACAGTGCAAGTGAGGGGGACTACTTCTTTACACCCCTCACTCTTTCCAAATACGAAACCAAGGTGCGAGAGGCTCTGCACATCTACAACTACTACTCCCCGCGACCACGCGTTGTCACGGGCCTCACCGCAACCCCCTGTGAAGTGTGGCGTCAGAGCAGCCCAATTGACTCCCTTGTCATTGCGGCAGATCGAAACCTGTTTGAGCGTCACGGGTCTCGCGCGACCTTGTGGTGTGCGCTCCGTCGTGTCTCATTAACGCTGCACGGGGGTCGTGTAACATTTTCAGTACGTTGGCCTGCTAGGGCGGTAGAACGCAATATGGCGCGTTCCATTTTTGTTCGCCCTGTGGATATGCATGGTTTTTCAACAGGAAGCCTGGAAAGCGTGCGGTCATTTCATTATGTGTGGGTGGAGCAAACGTTTCCCGTGCTGGACCCCCCGGAGCCGTGGGCGGAAATGTTAGACATCGCACTGCAGCTTGATGCGGATCCTGCAGCCAAGGGCGTGGTAGAAGGCGCGGACGGGGATGCGTCTCGTGGAGAGGGTCAACATGCAGACGAGTGCCGCATGCTGTACCGCACGACACCTTGCACTGCGCAGAATCGGCAACCCTGCCGCTTTTCAAAAATGAAGCGGGAACACGTCGACTCACTCATTGCCATCTCGCAGATGCAAAACGCAACATGCAATCGTCTTATACGAGGCCCAAGCGAGCGTGTGGTGTGGCGCTACGACGCGGATCCGATGGGCCGTGTGCCACACGCCGTGTATTGGTGTCTATTTGTACGGAACGCAGCTACAGCGGCAGCCCAATCCCCTGCCGTAGCCAATAGTGGGGTGAGCGCGTCGCCTGCGGAGCGTTGGGTGCCACGTCCTGCCCCTGGCTCCGTGCTCGCAATGGTGCGTGAGGACGAGAGTTCTGTTGTTGCTGAGCCTCAGGGTCAGAGTTACGTTGTTCATCACTGGCGCCGTGACGGAACCTATCATCAGTACCACCAGAGTCCAGATGGCGAACTTGGCCTTCCACCTGTCATTCCACAGCGATGCAATGGAGGAACGGAGACGCAACCGGGTGAAGAGAGTGGAGAGACGAGGCACGGGGACAATGTAGCCAATAACAACAGCAGCAACAACCCTGCCTTGTCGGTGCTGGCGAGTGAAAATACGGGGGGTATGGTGACTTTAAGGAGTGCCACCGCACCACTGTACTTCAGTGGCGTTCTTGAAGAGGCGCCATTGTCTGCGCTTCATCGCGGTCGCTACCTCCCAGAGGTGGGGGCTTCGTGTATTCAACTCTCCCAGCTAAATTTTAAGTCACTACGGGCACAACAGCAGGAGACGCTTGGCAACATTGCCTCTGTGGCTGCGGGTATTCACGTTATGGGAACAGCTGGTGTTAGCATTGGGGGAGGCACCCTCGCTGCCAACGCAGAGGCGACGGCGTCCGCGGAAAGCGTCGAACAACGAAATCAGATGCGTTTTGTGTCGAACGACCCCGCCCTTGCCGTAGCCGCGGCGGAGGGCAACGTGGTGTTTCTGACAAGCTCTATAGACGCTGTGGGAACCTTTGTGGCACTGACGAATGGCACCATCCGGTGCCATTTTGACGACCGTACGATTCTCTTTCTCATCCCAGGCGTGGACGATAGCGAGGAGAAATTGGTGGCCACATGTCTCTTCCGTGATGCCACACAGTGTTCAATGCGGCTCGTGAACTGTGCTCCGCACCATCCGATGTATCGCTACGTGGCGCACGCACTACAATTTCGCCGCTTTGCTCGCCTCTCTCCAGAGACGCGTACAGCCGTTGTGGATGAGACATCTGCGTTGAAGCTGCAGTACCTCAACGAAACAGAGTGGCATAGGGAGCAAAAGATGGAGTGGGAGCTGCAGCAACTGCTCAGTCGTACAGAGGCCCTTCTTTCAGGTAGTGAGGAACTGAGTCGGTTGAACTACTCGCTGCTTCACGAAAAGAAAGACGCCCCCTCAGCCTACTTTGCATGAAGCAACCATGGCGTCTGTTGGTTCGACAACCAAAAAAAAAAAAGTGCAGGCATAATTCTGCAGAAACCAGGGTGTGGTTCCGTTATAGAATTCTTAGGCATGGGAGAGCAGGCTACTTGGACATCTGCGAAGGTTGTGAGAGGTAACCACATGCATACACACCTTGGGCGTTTTCTTTTTGCCTCTTTGGATACCTTATATCGCGTTAAGCGCATAATTGCGCCTGTAACAGCGACGAGCTCATCATTTTTTGCTCTTCCCTCTCACGTGGGGTTTGGTCCTTCGTGTGGGTGTGTGATGTCGTCGTTCCCATTGTTTTTATTACTTGGTTACTCTTTAGTTTTTGCGTTGTTCCCGCGGGTGCACAACCACTAAGAAGCTCAGGGTGGACGTCAAGGATTTAGTGGAACTGGCGGGGCGGGGCGGGGCGGGGGTTGGGGAAAGAGGAAAAGAAAACAGGACGACCAAGACGCACCTTGCCTGCTGCAGTGAAAATGAGCATGAAACGAGGAGAGGGACAACGAAGTCCAGCAGCCTTGTGGCCCCAGTTGCAGGAGGAGCAGCACGCGGAAGCGGATGCAGAAGACCCTAAACGCCGGTCGATAATTGAGTCTGAATCAAATTCCAGGCTGCGCGACACGGAGTCTCCTTATGCGACACTGCCGCATAACTGTCGGCACTTTTCCACGTTGGCATTGTCTGCTAGCGATACTGACAAGCCGACGGTTGCCCACACACCAAGCACCTCTACCACTGTCCCATTGTCACAAAACAGTGGCGTCCGCGTGGTTAAAGGGCGGTCGTCCAGGTTGAATTTGGAGTTGGTGGCGCCGAGGTCGGGTGACGGACAGCCACTAACAGTAAAGCAGGAGCTCCCTACGTATTCCGTCCGTACTGTCGTACGCCAGGAAGACCACCCGTTGTGGTCATCCTCCCCACAGATGCAACTGGAGTACCTGTTTGGCCGTGCCACGTTGGGACAAGGCGGTCTTCGGAGGGACGGTTACATAAACTACCCCAAAGGATGGGATGCACCAGCTAGAAAGCAGCGGTCTTCTTTGTCACCCGCGGAAGAGCCTTGCAAAGGTGGTTGGAGCACGCCACTTGCCACTATAGAGTGGCGGCAGGACACTAGGTTGCCGAACGTCTTGCTGCCGCCACCCTCACAACAACAGCAACAGCTGGCTACGACGGCGGTAGGCGCCGAAACAGTTTTTTCGGAAAGAGGGCAACGCTTTGCTGTGGCTCCCCCATTAGAGCCGCAAGCAGGGTTTCAACGAATTCGACTCCGTGACTTTGCCACACATGTCTCAATATTGCTACGTGATGAGTGTGTCTGTCGTCAAGCAATCGTTGCGGAGGAACGTCAAGAGGCAGTGCTTGACATTGTAATGGTGCCAGACGTCACGCTTAGGTCGCTTCATCCAGCGTTGTTGGCTGGCATCGAGGAAACAGCTATATTGGAGGAAATCTGTCGGCGTTATATTTTAGAAGAAGAAGTCTGCCAACGAACCCCAATATGGGATTTTTATGTCTTTGAACACCGCTGCTTGGTTATTGGGCTGGCGCCACTAAAACGTCTCTTGCTGCAGTGGATTTTGTATTACCGGGGGCGTAAGCAAAGACACTTGGAACAGCAAAACTGTCTCATGAGGCGAGAGGAGAAATCTCGGCGTGAGCTCACGCACAGGTGGCTGGCGGCTCAGCAGAAACTCTTTGCCTCTCTAGTTGTTGCCACAGAGGCCCTGTTTCGTGCCCTCATTGAGGAGTTACAGCTGTGTACGCAGTATGCTCACGGGTTTGCAAGTATTTGTTTGAAGGAGCAAGTTGAATTATTTCCGCTCTTGTACGGTGCAGTAATGCCAAGAGTGGTCGTCTGTGGGCGAATCTCTGGTTATACCCGTTTCAAGCAACTTGACCTACATGACCAACACGAACGCCGCTACTTGAGCACGTGGGAAGAAAGAGATCGTCTTGTCATTTCCTATATTATGCAGCGGGAAGCATTGGTGGGTTTTGTGGAGGGTCCCAGACGCCAAACCATCGTGGAGGAGGAGTCGGTTGCACGTATGAAACTTGCCTTTACCCTTTTTGCTATGGCGGAGCGCTGCCACAGACGTGAGATCGAAATTGTGGAGGCCTGTGAATGGCAGATCGATCTGCTTCCCTATTTGTGTGCTGCGTTAGCGCCAGTTGGGCAGCGTCCCGAAGAAAAGCGGACAACATTTTTGTTTCTGACAAAGATGCAGGGTTGTCCTACTTAGCAGAGGTTGCCCACCGCTCCAACATTGGCCGCTGTGGCACGGTGCAAAATTGGATTGGGAGGAACGAGAATAAAAATTGAAAAACTGGAAATGAGGGTTGGAACACAACCCTTTTGTTATCACGTTTTCCGCTGGCGGCCTGTTAATCTCAGCCCCAGTATCGCCTCAGATACTGCATTGCCTTTATGTTATGTTTTGCTTGCATTTTCTGCACCCCGTTTTTTCCCCCTTTTTGCTTTTCTTTGCTGCGCACTTTACTTGTTTTCCTTGTCGTTGCTGTTGTATCTTTTTTTTTTTTTTGAGGGGGTCTGAGGCGGAGCAGAATTTTATCGGCGGCGGTTTTTCACCGCCGTTATTTTTATCATCGCTTCTGCATACAAGCACACTTCTTGCCGCGGCTCCGGATGTAAATAGTATGGTCAACGATGAACGCTTTCAGGTAGAGTGGGGATTGAGGGTGAGAAAACACACAGGCGGGGCCTGAAAAGAAATATAATATATATGAAAAAAGCATGAATATGCCTGGACTTTTTTTTGTTGTTGTTGCTGCTGCTGGGTTGCCTCACTTCCTTCTCGTGGATGCCGTAGGCGCACGGAGTTGGCACGGCAGCAGCTTTTATTTTTGGGGAGTCGTCAGGACCCCCACACGGCCTCCAAGTGTTCACGTTGGTCTTTTCTCCCCCTTGTGTGTTGCGTGTTGCTTTGCGCACCGCCTTGTCAGTCATCTCTCGCTGGTGAAGCTACGTGTGGGTAGAAAGGAAGCAAAAAAGGACCGACTTCTCTGGGTGTAACGACCGAAGTAGTAACCGCAACAGAAAAGAGCTATCCTTTTGTTTTTGGCCGTACGTGTCGGTTTCCATCTATCTCTCACTGTGTGTGTGTGTGTGTGTGGCTTACAACTCCAAATGTCCATCACCGCCACCACGATGCGCCTCATTATGCGCCAGATCCAAGACATTGAGATGAACCCCACCGATGGCGTGCGCATTCACAAGTCCGACAACCTGAACGAGTTGTTTTTTGACATCACAGGGCCGGAGGGAACCCCGTTTGCCGGCGGCGTCTTTCACGTCGCGCTGTACTTTGAGAAGGGGTACCCGGAGGTGCCCCCGCGTGGGGCCTTCCGCACAAAGATTTTTCACCCCAATGTGGCGGAGAAGGGAGACATTTGCGTGAACGTGCTTAAGCGGGACTGGAATCCGAGTCTTGGGCTACGTCATGTGATCATGGTGATCCGCTGCCTCCTGATTGAGCCAAACGCAGAGAGCGCGCTGAACGAGGAGGCGGCTCGGCTTCTTCTTGAGGATTATGACGCCTACAGACGGAAGGCGGAGATGATGACTAAAGTGCACGCCATGAAGGGTGGCAGGCCACCGAAGGGCACTCGGTCGTTGCCTTCCGACAAAAGCAGAGAAAGTGGTCCGCAGCTTATTGGAGGCACCGCCGGCATAGGCGGTGCCAGTGCGTGTGTAGTAGAGGGCGTCGGGGGCTCGCAACTCCGTAACACGTCGGAGTCGGCGCTGAACAACAGAAGCGCTGAGGGCGGTAATTCCTCGACAGTTGTTGCTTCCACCAAAGCAGTGGAAAAGAGACGTGTGGTCGTCAGGCGCATCTGAGTGGTTGGCATCTGTAACTCAGTAGGTGCCTGTCGTGCATATTTGCGCATTAGCCGTTGCGTCTTTGTTTATTATTATTATTCATATGTGTGTATCAAAGAGGGTCGCAATTGTGCGGCGCGGTGTTTCTGCAGGGGGCTCACTTTGAGTAAGTTGGGTCTCAAAGGAAAAGTAAATTTTTAGAAAAAATAAAGAGAAAAGGCAATAAATTACAGTGGAGTGGGCGTCACTGAGTGCAATGCAAATACTCTCGCATTCCGCAAATGTACCCGTCATGGGGGATACCGTGACATCATAGAAAGTGTGTGTGTTTGTGTGCGCGCTCTACTGTGTGGCAGAAATGATAAACCATGCGTGAAGCTAGTAGAGTTGTAATGTACTCCCATCGCGAGGTTGGGGATACCAATTTTATTTTGTTAACTCTCTTTGGTGTGAGTTTGGACGGCATTGCCTTCTGTGCCCCGTTTTGGCGCGGCGCAGTGGCTGAGGTGGAGTAAAATACAGCGGCACGTCGTATAAAAGGAGGCGCCGACGTTGTCTGTTTTGTTTTTTTGTTTTTTCCTTTGTGTGGTGCCTTCATGTGTGTCCGTGAGTTTTGTATAAAGGGTGGGAACGTATGTATGTATGTATGTATTTGTCGTCGGAATGATGTTTACTGCCTCTTTCCTTGTGTGTCTTCTTCCTTCTATCCCGCCTGCTTTTCCTTTCCATGTGTGCGTTCGTGTTTGGTTCGGCGCGGTGTGTTTCATGGTTGGTTGCTGCGTTCTGCCCCATGCCCTAACTGTTGGTGGGGAGGGGAAGACAATTAGAGCGTAAAATTTAAAAAAATAATAATAAAACAAAAAACAAAGAAGCTGTTTTCTCACGACGCTTCTTTGAAGCGAAGAGATGGCTGGAGCGAGGGAAATGATGCGTGCGAGAAGGTGCGGAAACGAGCTCCAACCGCAGAGAATATGGATGGCGTCTGGCCAACGACTTTTAATGAACTTACTTGTTATCTAAAGCCACAGACGGAGAGGAGGATAAACTGTCAAGTTATAGATAGATAGATAGAGAGAGAGAGAGAGATGGGAGAGGTGAAAGAAAGTCATGTTTTGTTTTCTTCTGTGTGGTTCTTGTCGGCTGTTCCCCTTCTTTTGGGGCTGACACAATAATTTTTGTGAGTTCACCCCTGCTCACGCCTTCGCCGGGGGGGAGGGGCGTGCACCCGTCGGCCTACGCGCGCTTGTGAAAGGCCTGCCACATGCTCATGCGGGCAGTGAGTGGGGGCCAATATGACGAAGAAGCGGAATGTCTTTCATTGACTGTAAATGAGGAGCACTGCGAGTGCCTTCGCATGTTGTTCTTTTTTCATTTTAAGACAGAGGAAAAAAAACAGGAGTAAGAGAGAGAGTATATCTTTTCTTTTTGAAACATTCCTTTGTGTGCGCATGTGTCTTTTACTCGTTTTCCTCCTTCCATCTCTCCCTATCACATTCATCCTCATCATGGCGGTGGCCACAAGGAGTGCTGAAGGAGGTCAGGCAACATTACACACTCTGCGCCTCACACGCGCAGAGGGGGAGAGAGAACGATAAAGGCTTACTGGCTTGGCTCTCTCCTATTCACAAGTGTCGAGCGTGTGAAGAGGTGCATCTTATATAAGATTTGGCACTACTGGAAAGGTAGTAGTTTATTCGTTAGCCGCCTTGTGTGTGTCTCAGCGTCATTTTCCTCTCCTCCTTTGACGCCGTCACAAATAAGACGAGCAAAATAAATAAGAACTAGGCTGAGGCAGGTTTGATCTGCCTTCATTTGGGTTTAATAACACATTGGTGGGATTGCGTCTGCGGTTTCCCTCTTGGAAGGGGAGGAAGTGGTGGTGGGACACACGTAAACGGAGGGATGCCGGCGTTATCTGAACGGGACTTGTTGAGTGTGGAGAAGTTTTCAAATGCCATGAAGGCGGCGCTGGGGCGCAATAGTCGGCAAGCAACGTTGCGGGACACGGACCCACAGAGTACCACCGCATCATTACCTGCTATCACATCGAATGACATGGCAACGATAGTGTTGGAAAGGCGCCTTTGGGCGGAAGTGGCCGTGGTGTTTTGGCGCCTCGCCAGTCGTCAGCAGATGCATCTGCTGGCGTATGTGACCACCGATGTCATCCGTGACTTGTGTAGTCTCTGTGACGGACTACTGGACCACATCCGGACCACATTTGCGAGCCTTGGGCCCAGTGCCTCACCCCTTCAGATTGTGGATTGCGCCGATTCCTTCGGCGCTGAACACATTTTTTTTCTTTTGAGTAACTTTTGCTCGCCTAAAAGTTGCATCAGCATGGTGGGTGGTGAGGATACGCTTGGGAAGGAGCTTCATAGTCATGTGTGCAAGGTGCTTGCGGAGCAGGACCACCTGCAGTGGATGACACGTTTGTTTCGTGCCTTTTGTGATGAGTCGTGGCGGAGGTATTTGGAAAAAAGTAGCATTTCAGAGACTGTTGTTTCAGCCACGCGTGAAGTGCTGCGATGCCTTTCACATTGCTGCGCCACAAGTGAGACGTGTGCGCATCTGCTCATTTACACCGAACCTAGACCGCTAGTGGCACAGTTGTTGTACGGCCTTCGTCTACGCATCTCCACCAACACCCTCATTCGACCCATTGTCGGCGCTGGCTCCACGTGGCAAGGTGGTGAGCGGCCAGCGTCCCCCTTGTCCACTTCGGCTGTGCATGTGCCAACCCGCAAAGCCGAACTCGCAGAGTACCTGGCCTCTGGGCGGAAGAATGCGTATGATGCGCTAAGTAGGGAGGCCCTCAATGCTGCGGTGGTCGCTGTGAAGAAAGCGGTGGCGTACGACACACCTGACGTTGTGGTGGCCCTATGTCACATCATGGAGGTCAGTTCTCGTAGCATCGTGCCACCACAAGGGGGGGAAAAGAAGCTGCCAATGAGTCTGCAGATTGCTATGTATGAAAATGTCCTAATGGCGTGGGATGCCCTGTGTCAATTGATACTAACAAGAGACGATGCCCCATTGCGTCACGACATTGTTGCTAGTCAAGAGGCCGTTTTGCAGCAGCTTCTTAATTACAACCCGGCAGGGTGTGTACGGTGTCTATTGCAGCATTGTCCAGATATTGTGGACTGCGACTTGACGCTTTTTCAGACGATAGCGATGTTTTGTACCCCTCCCTCTACAAGCAGCATGCAACACCCTCCATCCGCGCCGGCGCCACGCACAGAGCACTCCACACATCGAATTGCTGCGAGCACTGACTCTTTAAATGAGAGCATATGCAGCCGAAGTGAGTCAGTGAGTTCCCTTACAAGTAGCGTGCATCTAGCACGATCAGCACTGCCTGAAACCACCGTGACACGTACTTTGAATCGTGTTCGACCGTCAAGGATAAGTTTTTGGCCTACCACTTCTTTTGTTGGTGGTGTTGGTGGTCACTTGGCTCATGCACAAACCACACCATGCTCTTTGGCGTTTGATGATGAGGGTTACGTTTCTCCGTATCCACAAGGATCCAGTGATGCGGTTTTGGATTATGTGTTATCACCGGTTTTTCCGCTTTCAGTTGTTGATGGAGAGGAATGGTGGTACAGCAACAAGCCATACGTGGAGCTTATACTCGGTCTGACTCAAGTGCTGAATGAAACGTTTACAGACACCACCACATCACCCTCACTACGTCTAGTCATTTGTACACTGCTCACACAGATCAGTATGCGTAGCTCCAGTGCTTTTGCAGCATCTGAGGGACGTCTAGTGTTGCGTTCATTTATTAGGGCACTACGAGCATACGGCCAACATTCACGGAGGACATCTACATCAACCCATAGCTTACCACACATGGAAGAGCCCAATATTCTACGTAGGATGACTATTATTACACCTGAAAAAGAGAGAGGGAAAGGATCTCATGAGTGTATGGACGAGGATGCGGTGTATGTTCTGTTGGCTCAAAGAATTGCTGCAGCCATCTGGCACGTTTATCATGTTTTGCACATGATACCCCTCTCAGGCGAGATGGTGGACCTTATTGAGCTGCCTTTATTGTCGTTATGTTGGGGAGAGGAGGTGGAGCCAGAGGTGGTGGAGCCGGAGGAAGGTGCTATAAGAACAGCTGCTGGGGCTCGCAAAACACTCACCTTCCTGTTTGCCCCGCTAGCGCGGGTGTGGTACACGGGGCTCCTGAGCAACGATGATGAAGACTTTAACAAGCGTTCACAAGAGGTACTGATGGAGGTGCTGCTAGGCTTGCTGAGAGTGGGTGGGGTGCTGTTGACGGCACCGGAAGTCCCACGTGTCTCCTTGACGGCCCCTGCTTCTTCCACGTCAACTGCAACCTCCACATGGAATGCGACGCACTCTGCAGAGAGCAGTTTAGTATCCTTCGAGGCGGAGGTTCCGCCAGTGGAGTTTAGCGACACCATCAAGTCACTGCGTAGAATATTTATGATTCTCCTGCAGCGTGACCCAGGGTTCCTTTCCTTTGAGATACTGGAGGTGTTGTTCTCCCTCCTTTGGGTCAATAATGCCCAGCTGACGGAGTTAGGTCGGAAGTGTATTGCCAGCAGCCTTGACTTTGGGGAGGTGTACCCAACATACACGAAAATTATTCAAAGCGCGGACCCATCGTTGTTGACGAAGCTGCTGCCGCTTTTCGCGGCAGAGCTCTTGTCACCGGAGGTGTCAACGGATGCCAAACACGAACGTCGCGTATGGCTTTTCAAACATGGTTGTGTCAATGCCGTGATTGCCGTCTTGCAGCGTGTGTTACTTGCCTCGCACAACGTGGTGTGTTTCCCACGACTTATTCAACAGTTGTTTTGTTTTCTTTCCGTGTCGGAGTCAGCACAGGGTCGGGAACCGAGGCTTGCAGACACTCAACTGGTACATGTTTTCTCAGAGAGTCTTCATTGCGTGGAAAGGGTGGAGTACCTTATTTTTATTGCCCAGGCTGTCCTTGGGGCGTCCACTTCAATGTTTGACGGGTACCAAGACCAAAGATGTCGGGTTAATAAACACGGGCCTTTTGCTCTCTCAGTTCCGAATTGCTCAGTGGAAAAACCGGTGTTTATCGATTTGTTCCCACCCCTACTGCAGCATGCGCATGAGCATGCCAAGAGCCTGGAGAGCGATCTACTTTCCGCCCTCCACCTCATCCTAAAGATGACGACAAAGGTGCACTCCAAGGCGCTTTTAGAGTGGGTGCTGCAGCGAAAGCAGACGACGCTGCTGCCGTACTTGGACTTCGATGCAGCCGCAGCATACAATGTCCTGCCGTACGTAGGCGACCGAGGTGAGATTGAGCCTTTCTGGACACCCATTCTGCAGGAGGCTCCGGAGCGGGCGGAGCTACGCTTCAGCTGCACTGGTGGTATTGTTGTGACAATGGGGCGTTGGCCTGAAAAGGGTTTCTCCGTCTCAGCGTACTTTTGTTTTGAGGAGATCTATAGCAATATACAACTATTTGAGTTTTTCAATGGGGAGGCTTCGTCACCGCCTCTTGCGTCCATCCGCATTGCAGGTGGTGATAGTGTAATTATTCTTCATGATGGGAAGCGGGTGTCGCTTAATGAAAGTCACGCGCTGCCGGATCTTGCACCGCGGCGATGGGCGCATTTTCTAGTCGTTATGAGCGTGGCACACACAGTTAGTGTGTACCTTAACGCCAATAAAGTTGGGACCTGCACACTGCCCTACTTCCGTCCCTACGTGGAGGTGGTGATGCACATAGGCTTTGTCAATGCCCCTGTGTACGATGCCCTCTTCTCCATTGGCGGGGTCGTGCTGTGGGACGAGGAACTGACGGCACCACAGGTGGAGGCGTATGCTGCCACGACGGGGTATCAACCAAATGTGTGTAAAATTTTAGAACGTGAGATACCACGTGAGCTTGCGGATAATCACGAGATGTTGCCTGTTGAAGACCGCATCGCCGTGTTTGAACCCCACGAAACCCGTGATTCAATGATGGTTAACATTCTACAAAAGGCGTCAAAAAACTGCCCTATTGTTGCCAAGCTCACTGGCAACTACGCCGCGGCACCGAAGAACTGGATTGACTATCGTGCTCTCTTTTTAAACCAGGGTGGTATGCTTCACCTGCTTGACTGGGTCGTTCAGTCTGCCACATCAGGGGAATTGGAGCGGTACATGGCACTCGTAGCTGACTGTATCCGGAACGTCACCAATGGTGGCACCATGGACTTTAGAACGTACACACTACTTGGCTTTCATCTCCGTCGTCTAGCCCACCTCGTGACCCCGGCTGTGTGTGATAGTTTACTGCATCTTGCCACTGCGAACGTGAGCGTCAATGATGAGTTGCATCCTTTTATCATTAATCGACTAATGTTTGATCATATTTTTCGTGATATTGAGCTTTTTGCGGGGATGCCATTGGACTCTGCCCTCTACCTGATAGAGCGTCTGGAGAGACTCTTCACGGTTGCCTCTTGCCGTTTTGCGAGGCGAAACGCCAATTATGTTATACCCTTTCGATTTATTGACAGTATTCTTAATGGGTTAGTTTATGCAAACGTTTCTTTGCCCTTTGCCGTGCGGGCTCGTATAATTTTGTGCGTGAAGCATATTATGATTGCCTCTGACTTTGATCCAAATATTGTTCACGTCCTTGCGTCCACAGCGGCGGTGCTCACGCCGGGGGAGATGGAAGTGACAAGTCTCCTACAACCCTCATTGCGAGTCAAGCTTCCCAAAGCACAGTTTACGGAGATACGTGTGTCGCTTCAAGGTACGTGCGATCTCACACCTTTAATTCTGCGCAGTCTTGTAGATTGCTGCGGCAGTAGCATGTTTGTTTCGGCCCTTGGAGTTATTGTGGATCTTAACTGGTACGCCGTTTGCGTCTCACGCTTTGCGGACGCGTCATGTGTTGTGTACGCCACTCGACTCTTCTTTGAGGCACTGCGGTCGAATACAGGCCTGCGTAATCAGGTGATGCACCACCCTGCTGCTGTTGTGGAGGCCCTCTCCCCACATTGTCTGAATGTAGACTTACTGTTGCTTTTGCTGAGCCTCAGTGTGGGTGCTGAGGGGCGTATTGATGTTCTTTCCTCAAAGCACCCGCTTCTTCAACAGTTGGTTGGAATTTTGGACTCTATGACACCGGAGTTGGACACCGTTGTGGCACCAATCTTCTCCAAGGTTCTTACGCTACATTTAACCGCGGCGTTGTCCACGCCTGCGTGCTTCCGACCATGTAGTCTCAGTTCGGTGATACAGAGGCGCATGTGTTGCTCTTATCGTCTGCGCAGGCCCTTTGGGCTGGCGCGGGTGTGCAGTATACTCATGATTCAGATATATGTCAGGCGACTCCTGTCGAAGACGACCGAAGCCGGCACCATGGCGTCAGCAGCAGACCGAGGGGTACCAGGGCAATCATCACTAAAGGAAGGTGGCTTCAGCAGTGACGTGACGGCGGATACCACAAAGACACCCGGATTTTTGGGTAAACATCGAAGGGCGTTGCTTGCATTGCGTGTGTGTGTGTTTTTCTGGCACGGCCTTCAACGCAGACGATACAAGAAGGTATTGCAGCGCATGAGGGGTACTGCGCCTCTGATGGTCTTGGATGTTGATTTAGAAAAAAATCTTTTTATCCTTCGCACGCTTCAGAGTCTACCGCTGAAGCAGGGCCTTTTTTTGCCGTGCACGCTTTCGCCGTACCAAATTGAGGCTTTCGCCTTCTTTGGGACATTCTTGCAACGTGAGACCGTCCTGTCAAGATGTGAGGAAAAATTGCAGTCTCGCTATTTTGGAGCTGTGCCCCTTACCGCCGCCAGCTACCCAGGGATGATTCTGAACATGGAGGCTACGGGAGGCAGCGATGTCTCTGCATTTTTTTCAAAAACCTGTGATGAGTGGCGGTCCTCGCCGCTGACACACATTACTGGCACGGGCGAGGTGGTAATGCATGGCGTTGATGGTACGAGCACCGCGGTGGAGGCAGAAGCAGAAGAGGGAGAAAAAGTAAACCGGCGACAGGAACAACACCGACGACAGCAGCAACGGCAGAAGGGGGAAAAGGAGGGGGTGACGGAGATGAAAAAAGAAGAGATTGTCAAATTAAAGCATGAGGAAGAGTCGGAGCATCACTGTAATATGCCGCCAACAGCGACACTGCCTACGGAGCACCGCAAACGACAAATAAGGTCTCCTTTACCAAATTCCCCCTTGCATGATGAAAAAGGTTTCTCTCATTCGCCACCGTTGCTTGCCCTCTCTGTTTCCACGGATGCTGCATCGTTGCCTGAAAGCATGGAGGAGCGTGCTGCCAGCGCTAGTGATAGCAAGCTGGAGCTGACAATGGACGCTGGCATCTTTTCTGATGATGATAGGCATGTTGATTCTAGGCTTGCTGGACTCGCCTTGTCTGTTGCAGGGAGTCCATTGCATTCTGAATTAGAGGAGGCTGTGAGTTCGGACGTGGCGATAGGCACCTTTGCTCCCTTAACTAACCTTCGGTCTTCCGCGACAAGGTCCCTGCAGAAGTCTGCTGTGGGGGTTTTGTCACACACCGTTCTTGCCTCACTGCTCAACTTGCCTGTCACTGAAGGGTGGGTTGGGGAACAGACGTACGGCTCCTGTGGGGAGCTGCTGTTTCAGCTTATGCTGGTCGCTGGCGCCATGTCAAGTACCGAAGAGGTGACGTTAACTTTGACGTACTTCTTCATTGACCAGTTGCTGGTGTGCGTTGATTTGGTTGAGGGCCTCGCGGAACAAAAACCATCTTTTATGTCGTCGCTGAAAGGGAGCGGCTTGGAACTCTGCGCCCGACGGGTTATTTTGTTGCAGGACTCTGTGTCCGACGTCTTTGTCTTCAATGTTTGTCGGCTGAATGAGCTGTTTGTGCACCTTATTTCCTTTGATGTAATGAAGCTGTCGAGCCTCTCTTCGTACTTTGTTTGGTTACTTGGATGGGCCTCCGCCTCTTGGCCGCATTGTTCGCAGCAGCTGCTCCGCTCACAGATCGTGAAGAGCTGCATCGCCGTTCTAAACCGACCGTCACTTAATGGAATCACGTCTGAGCAGATGGAAATTGTCTACATGCTGCTTAGCCGCGTTTTCTGCCCGAAGTGGATCATGAAGGATATGTTTGAGTGTTTGCTGCATGTGCTCTTTCGTCTCTACACATCCTTGCCGCCATCCACCATGGATGAAGCGGAAACGCAAAGACGGAAGGAGCTTGTTGTTTTGACGCTGCGCCTTATGATGCGCACGTATGCAGGGAGCAAAGAGCTATGCAAGGCACTCTCTGCACGTGCGCTGCGGCAACGTATTTCACTTTATAAGGAGTTTGCGGCTGCTCTTCTTGTGCCGGATGAAGCCACGGCTTTTACGGCCTTTGAGGCGTACTGCCGAGAAAATATGACCACGATTGGCAGCGTTATGTGCTGTCGACCTAAGGCAAAGGCGGATATCGCGTACAAATCCATGTTGAAGGACCGCAGTGAATACGTAAAACGCATTAACAAATTTAGGGAGGCCTACAGCAAGACGATTGAGGTTAGTGATGAACACCGGCGAGTGCGACTTGTTCAGGCATACACCGCCCGCTTCTCCTCCTGTGTTGGAGACATTTCTCCATTGAAGCCGAGCCAATGTAATTGGCTCGTGACAGAGCAGTGCTCATTACAGCGGGATAGTCCCCGTGTGCGTGCATTGCACTATTTAGATTCCCGCGGCAACTACACAACGATGATATCGGATTGTGTCACGGAGGATAACGCATCTATGGTGCCCAGCGCAGACAATTGTGAGCAACAGCTCAACCACGTCTCAGCCTTGGTACAGCCCTTCGCTATTCGTTGCCGACCGTATCTGCTCCAAAGTTCGATCCCATTTGTGGATGGTCGTTGCCGAGTGAGTCCAGCGGCGGTCTCGTTGCTTCGATACCTCCTTGAACCGAATGAAGTCCTGCGCTTCATTAGCAACGGCTTCCGCATCAAGGGCATCCACGCCACACCGTGTCTTATTCTCTTGACTAACTCCACGTTGAAGCTGATTGGGTTCTCCCGCATTACGGTGGCGGGGGACATCGTTCTTTGCCAGTGTGCAAACGAAGAGTCCGGTGAGCCCGATTTTTCCACCACCAGCAGCGTGTCGAAGAGTTCGAGGGCCAAGGGAGGTTACCAGCTTACTGCACAGAGCTTTGCGTTCTCCATGACGAGCAAATTGCAGCGCTTTCTCACAGACGGTGCTGGAAAAGAGCGACGGCGGCGTAAGAAAGAGGAACTCCACGATGGGACCAAAATTGCATATTCTGTTCGACAAGCATCGGGAAACTCTTACCGGGACCTATTTTGGGTGTATTTCTTGCAGAACATTAGTAGCGTACGCATGGCATACTACATGCATCAGGACACTGCCATTGTTTTTAAATTTATGTACGCTGATGGACCCATGCTATCGTTGGTGGACGCACAACAGTCGATGAACACGTCTGCCCGGGATAAATTTCTGGACGTCTTGAAGGAAGTCCTCGGCAGACAACGTTGTAAATTTCATGAACACTCACAACGCGCCGCGAGGATTCGCTCGATGCTTATCCGCTGGGCAGCAGGCTCAGTCTCTACCTATGACTACATCACCTTTCTCAATCGCGTGGCGGGCCGTACAAGGTTGGACTTTAACCAATACCCCATATATCCATGGGTGCTTGCTGATTACAGGTCGAGTGAACTTGACCTAGACGCCGCGAAGACGTACCGTGACCTCTCCCTTCCCATGGGAGCCCAGACGGAGGAGCGACGCCAAAAAGTGATGCAGTTATACCAGCAGATGGTGGAGATGCAAGCGGCTGATCCGGAGGTTGGAGGCGTTCAGCCATTTCATCATGGGACGCACTACTCGACAAGCGGAGGAGTATTACATTTTCTCATTCGTGTGGAGCCCTTCACAACATTTGCACGCATATTTCAAGGTGGTGAGTTTGATGCTGCTGCACGTCTATTTGACTCTGTGGAAGCTTCCTTCCAATCGTGCGTGAATGGCCCTGCGGACTGTAAGGAGTTGATGCCGGAATTCTTCTTTGATGGTATGTTTCTTGTAAACGCAAACCATTGTGGGTTTGGCGAGAAGTCAGACGGCACGGTTGTGAATGACGTGAAGCTTCCTCCCTGGGCGAAGGGTTCAACGCAGGTGTTTGTATCTGTTATGCGGTACGTATTAGAGAGTGAGTTTGTCGTACACAACATTCATCGATGGATCGATTTGATCTTCGGTGTACGCCGCCGCGGAAGACTGGCTGTGGAGAGCTACAATGTGTTTCAGCGTATGACGTACGGCGAAGAAGTTCTCCAGGCGCTAAAAAAGTGTGATAACCCGCATGACACTGATGTCATTATCGCCGAGGTGGATAACTTTGGACAAACTCCAATGCAACTGTTTCAGGAGCGGCACCCCGCACAGAGGGAGCTGGAGCCGTGCCATCCCCCGAGTAACAGCGGCAGCAGTGGAGCGAGTGGTGCCAATTGCATGGCCAACGGTACTGTGCGACGCAGTGGACACACCTACACGACGGCTTTTCAAGAACAATTGCCGAAGGTGCTCGTCATGATTATGCATGCGCTAGACTCACCACAGACATGGTACACATTGGAGGATCCAGCGCCAGGAAGTTTTCAGGCTCTACCTGAATGCCTCTCAGATGACATTCTCATCCGTGAGAGCGCTGTAATTGGTTTTGCTACGACACGAAGTGGAGTAAAGAGGTGCTGCTACAAGTACGCCTCACCGGTTGACGACATGGACCATCTACTTTACTGGAGTTGTAGTGAACATATGTTGATGCGATTTGATAGCACGAGAGGTTGTTTCTTGTCATCCCTGCGGTGCAATTCGATGAGCGTTATTCTCAAGAACGTCAGTGCCCTTTGTGTGGGCTGCCGTGAAACACTGATTTTGATTGGGTCTAATAGCGGCAGTGTGCACTGTTTTGGTCCCATCCGAAGCGATGGGATCTTGGTGCTCACCTCTACACTCTCCCACCACACGCACCCCATTGCGGGATTTGCGTTGAACGCCAAATACGGTCGCATTATCAGCTTCACTGTAAGTGGCACAGATTGTCCGGTTGTGTGGTGTGTGCAGCATCGTCACACAGCTAAGTTGCACCTGCTAGATGCCTCTCGCCTGCTTTCGTCGGCAGCCGCGTCTGACCTTGTCGTGGTGGCAGCCGTGATTGACCCGAGAACGGCAAATTCAATTGTCATCACGCGTCGACACCTTTTGATCTTTGACAAGCATGGGGAGCCGTACGGTGTCGGCGCTCTCCCAGGCCTGAACGAGACTGCGCCACACCTTGAGGACGAAACGGGGCAAGTTGGATTTGCGGTGGGCACCGACACCACGTTTATCGCGAGTATGACTGCTGTCACGACATACGATACACTTGAGTGGGCATCTGGCGTTCAACTCCTCCTCACAGGGCATGACGACGGCAGTCTATCGTTGTGGCGTGCGGTGCGGCTGCCGCCTTCCAAGGTCAAACACGGCTGCATTGTGTCTGTAAAGTACCACGCTATTATTGGGGCTGGCAGTCAAACCTCTCGCCTCGGCGCCGTCACGGCGTTGAAGCAGGAGCAATCTGACGTCCCAGTCTTCCTCGTTGGCTACGCCAGCGGTGCGGTGAAGGTGCTCATCTTCGGGAATCGCACGGCGGACACGACGAAGACGGTGAAGATGTAAATGATTTAGCTGTTTTACTTCTTTTCGGGTGGGCATATGTGTGCTGCGGTATTGTACGTGGGCGGCGCTGCTGGTGAGCGGCAGGGGAAAAGAGAAGCAAAGAGTGGGGAGGGGGGGGTTGCCTGCGGCTCTGACGCGTCGCAGAGGAACCAACGAGCAAAGCACGGGGCATACAGAAAAAAAAAAAAAAAGTAATTTTTTAAAAAAAAACAAGGGTAAGGAAAGGAAACAAAAGCTAGAAGCAGCAACAATAAGAAAAACGAAAGGAAGTCAAATAGTGACTGTGTGGGAGAGTAAGGACGAGGTCCCTTCGTGTGAAGTGTGTAGTTATTTGTTGTTGCTGTTTTTTGTTTGTGTGTGTGTGTTTGTGTGAGGGTATCCTTACGAACAGTCATGATGCTCTACGCTCACGTAGCGCTCAGGTCAGTCAATACTACCGGATTATCGTCTGCGTCTGCTGATTGCATTTTTCTTATTCTTCGCTGTTTTCGATGACGGGAGACCTTGCCCGCCTTCATGCTTGCTATGTGGTTTGTACTGCTCATTTGCTTCAATCACTGGTTTTCGTTTCTGTCTACTGAGCAAACACATACACACACACATACATACACACACACACATACACCCATATCCTGTACGTGTGTTCTACTCACCTTGCTGGGGGGAACAGAAAGGAAGGATAACGTATTGGGCACGAACAACGAGGGAAGGAGAGACAGGACGACGACAAGGGAACACATGTCGGGTGGTGCTGGAGTCGAGAATGGGGATAATGGCGCTACGCCTCCGTGCTTTTGCCTCGTCTTGGCGGAGCCCGAGGCGATGGAGCTTGCGGTGTGGGTGCGAGACATTGTGGCGGAGCGCTCAAGACTGCCTCTAATACAGGTGGTGTTGCGCGACGTGGGTGCGGCGTCCGAGGACGGTAGTCGCTTTTGCTCCGCCGTGCTGCTAGCGTTGGAGGATGTGATGAGAGACACTGCCCTCCCGGCCGGTGACACGGGCGGCGCTGTCTCCGCCAAGACGGCGAAGGTGCGCTGTCTTGTCATTGCGGTGTTTTGGGACGGCCAGAGCGAGACTGTCAAGGCGGACTTTACGCAACTGCGACAGCTTGCGGAGACGAAGAAAAGCACCGATGCCAATGCTGCTAGCGGCAAGAGTGAGGGGAATGGTGCGGGTGGCACGCGTCCAAATGTTCTGCAGACTTCGGAGGTGCGGTTTATTGTGCAGGTGCTCAACGCCAAGAAGGGCGAGCACACACTGAAAGAAAACAGCGAGGCACTGCTGAGTACTATTCGCAAAAAATTGATGCCCACCAACGCTGTGCGGTATGTTGACCCACAAAACAGTGAGGGACTGGTGTCAAGCATGGATAAACTTGCGATGGTGTCTTCTGCGACACTACCAGCCTCATGCGGAGCGAAAGGAACCATCATAGGAAAGGAAGAACTGAGCGAGGCGGCCATCGCGGCGAGGATCACGGAGGGTCAAGGTGAATGTTTTGTTCTTGTTTCTAGTTGTAGCATGGAGGAGTTTCAGACGCGTGTAGAACAGTTGCAGGCGTCTGCTAAAGCCCTTGGTGCCGGCTGTACATCATTGGTGGAGGAGCCGCGTTGGGTACAGGGCCCATGCGAAGCCAATACGAGCGGCGACACTATCAGTAATGTTTCTGGGGGTGGAGGTAATGGAGTTGAGTGTGGGGCCGGCAACCGAAAGGCGAAATTTGTTGCACAGGAGTTTCTTCTTCGTCAGAGCGAGTCAGAAACGCATATTGAGTTGCGTCTCGCCATGTGTGGCAATGTAGACAGCGGGAAATCAACCCTGACGTCGGTGCTCACGCACGGCTGCTGCGATGACGGAAGAGGTTCAGCACGCGCGTTGGTTTTTAAGCACAAACACGAGGCAGCCACGGGGCGCACCTCAAGCGTCAGTGAGAACCACCTCGGACTCTCCTCAACAGGGGAGGTGGTGAACTACACCGCTGCTGCACAGAAGCGTTTGGGGGGTCCTGGGAATGCAACCTCCGCCGGACAGCTTACTGAGGTGGTGACGCGGAGTGCAAAGGTCCTCACATTGTATGACCTTGCCGGTCACGAGCGGTACCTCAAGACGACGGTGCTTGGCATGACGCGGAATATGCCTGACTACGCCTGCGTTGTGATTAGTGCCAACAATGGTATTCAACGCATGACAAAGGAACACATCGCTCTCTGCCTCGCCCTCAAGGTTCCTTTCTTTGTGGTCGTTACTCGCATTGACTCCACCCCGGAGAACGTACGACAGGAGACGTTGACAAACATTCATAAATTGCTTAAAATTCCGACTGTGCGTAAACTGCCGTACCCGGTACGTCGCGTCGATGACATCGTGCTCACCGCCAAAAACCTGCGTGCTGATCGCATTGTGCCCATTTTTGAGGTGAGCAACGTCACAGGGGACGGGATACAGGTTCTTGTTCGTTTTCTTAATCTTCTTCCAGTGCGGAAGGATTGGCGCAAGGCCAGGACGCTGCCCCGCGAAATGGTAATTGACAACACGTTCTTTGTGAAGGGTGTCGGTACAGTAGTTGGTGGTATTGTGACGCAAGGGGTATTTTATGCGAACGACACGGTGCTGCTTGGCCCTGACAGCTTCGGTGCTTACCGCACTGTGCACATCAAGTCCATTCACGTGAAGGGCAAAGAGCAGCAGGAGGTTGTAGCTGGTTGTGACGCGACGTTTTGTCTCAAGAAGGAGAAACGTAGCGCCATACGCAAAGGCAGCATTCTCACCGACCCGCGCCTCCCTGTCGAGGCGTACTGGCAGTTTGAGGCGGATGTCACGATCCTCTACCACTCCACAACAATATTGGTGAACTATGAGCCCGTCATTCACTCTACTACAGTGCGACAGTCCGCTCGCATCGTGTACGTGGCGCAGGAGGTTCTCCGCACCGGGGACCGGTCACTCGTGCGATTTCACTTTCTTTACCGCCCGGAGTTTATGAAGGTGGGGCAGCAGCTTATCTTTCGCGAGGGGCGCACGAAGGGAGTTGGGACCGTGACGAAGGTCATCGTTGACCAGTTGGACTCGGTCGTCTGGAAGAAGCGACGGCGGTAGAACCCAATTAAGTGGACGAATAGGAATTTGAAATAACCAGGAACGGAAGGATAGCGGGTACAGAAAGAACGAGACAGTAAAAAATGGAGAAAAGGAACGTGTGCGTGAAAGTGTTGACATGGAACGCCTTTGCACGCGGTGTCACACTTAAAGGGATGACGGATCTTACAACAAAAAACTGAATGCTATTGTCTGCTTGCTTGGTGGCGAGCATACCTCACTCCCCCTCCCTATCCGTTTATTTGCCGTGAATCTCCTTTTATGCTCTTAATTTCTCGTGGACCTGCTGCGGTGACGGTGCTTTGGCTTATCTCTCTTTCACTTCCCCCCCCCCCTCCTCCCTCCTCCGCGTCTGCCGCCTTTGATTGCCCACACCCGCACCACACACGAGAGGAATCGCAGGAGGCTCCAGTAAGCGGCATAGCCATTAACTAATTTACACAGCAAACTCACACAAATTGCTTTCACACGACGGTAGCGAAAAAAAAAAAAACGGAAATTAGAAACCGACAAGGAGAAAGAAAGAGACATGTTGTCTTCTAAGTGCGCTGCGGCAGGGAAGCTTTTGGCGCCATTTTGTAAGGTAGCTTGCAAGATTGAGCGGCGCTCAGCGACAAAACTAAGTGCGGTTGATGCCGGGATTGCCAAGGTGATTGCGGAGCATAACGCCAATGGAACCGATGCCGCAGTAAGCAGTACGAAGCGCTACCTCCACGAACAGAAGCAACTCTTTCACTATCGTATCGTGCGTTTTTTTGATGAGTGCCGCTACCTGGCCTCGGGGGAGTATTTTCGCACGTACAACTTTGCGAGCTTTATTTGGGATATTCGTTTTCTTACCAAGTTCCTGTTGCTTTTTATTATTGGCACACTCTTTGGTCGACAGAGCATCTTCCCACCTATTGACCCGAACTCGCCACTCGCCCTCGCGCTGGAGACAAAGGTGAACCCGAACTACTAGGCGTCGCTGTGTAACGGCAAGAGCAGCGGCTGTAAGTGAAGAATCATAGTAGCAGAGAAGGTTTAGTTGTTATGGAAGCTTGGCAGGGAGGAAATATGAAGAAGCGTGTGGTTGCTTGCTCCTTCTTTGTTTCCCCCCCACCCCAGCCCCACCCTCTTTTATGCGTTGTACATGAAATTTGTAGGAAGTGTTGGTGCAAAATGTGTCCCATGCAGTACATACACATGCATTATTTACACCACAGATGAATACTGAAGAGAGGAGATGAACATGGTGCATTCTTCTTTTTAGTTACGTTATGCATCTTGTTTTTATTTTTGATATCTTTCTCTCTGTTTGTATCCAACTGTGTGTGTATGCGTGTGTGCAGGTGGGAGTGGGGAACAATGTTTGGGTTATGGGCGTTGTTTACGTGTTTTTTCATCCGGTCTCCTTCCCTCGCTTTTGCTTCACATTTTTCATTTATTCTCTGCTTGTATGCAGGGAAGCATTGGGCAGAGCTAATATGCATGTATGGGGAGGAGGGGGCGAGTGGGTGGATGGGAAGGAAAGCGAGGCAACGCAGCAAGGAATAAATGAGCATATTTATCTGCACGCTTTTATAGAACGGAACCAACTTTGACGGGGACTGGTGTGGGGTGTTGTCAGGGCCATATATATATATATATATTATCCTTCTCGCTCGGCTCTCCATTTTTCTTGGGTATCCCCGCTTACTTCTTTTATCTTGTCTTCTTTGCCGTCCGGCGTTTCGTCGTTTTGCCAAGCGCGGGATCCCTAACGCGTTTGTTCGGGCATTAAAAACAAAACCAAAAACGGAAAAAAAAAGGCAACAAAAAAGAGAACGTGAGGAAACAAAAAGGTGGCGTGCGAACTCTGTTTATTTAGCTAGAAGGAGGGAAACCGTCGAAGAGGACCGCGAAGCGAGAGGAGACGAGGGAGGGGGAAGGGCGTCAGCGATGGGGCCGCATTCGGTGTATGAGCCGTTTGACCGTGTGTGGGTGAGGATGGAGGGGTACGACTGGTGGCCCGCCCGCATCGTCAGTGACGATGAACTCCACGCAAACGGCCAGAGCCGTGCAGAAGGCTGCGACATCACCGTTTACTTTTACGAGGGCACCACAACACCGGCAAGTCTAGAACACTTCCACAGCGCCAGCACAAACATCACATTTTTTGAGACATCCTCAGAGAAGGCTGTCACAGGGGATGCCGACCTACTCGCGGCGATACGTCGGGCAGAAGCGGACGAGACAGCGAATCCACTTAAGTACGAATTTGCAGCAGCGGATCGCAGTGGCGCAAATAAAGTGGGCGACGGGGCGGCAACTGCAGCAATGGTAGCAACGGCGGCCTCTGCTTCAGCCACAGAGGCCATGCGGCGCGGTGCTAGCAATACGGCGGCTAACCAGCGTCCCGTCAGCAAGCGCACCCGCGACACGGATTCAGAGGAACGACACGGAGTCGCATCCGAATTGAATTTGCTATCCGACGAGAAACTTATTGAAATTGCCGGGCGGATCAACGAGGCGGTGTCAGCCTGCGATCTCCCTTCCTTGCGCATTGAACTGTGTGATTTAGACACCGTCAACGTCACGGTGCGGCAGCTGGAGACGACAAAAATTGGCGTGGCAGTGGGCAGTATTTTGGGTAAAAAGGCACTGGAGAAGTTATGGCCGTTATCGCGGGCCATTATTTCGGCATGGGCGCGGGCCATGCCCGTTGAGACTATAGAAGCTATCAAGAGGCATCAACAGTATCGACTCGGAAAACGACAGGATGATGCCAACAATACCAACACGATGGAGTTGGCCTTGCTGAGCCCTTTGGTGGCTGGTGCACCATCCTTTGCTGAGGTGAACAACGCTTCCAGTGTGCCGGTGTTAAAGCCGCTGGAGAATGGCGAGCGCGTGCGGACGCGATTTGTCCACCGTGTACGGAAGCTGCTAGACAATCCCACCGACCCACCCATTTCCAACGTCACCCTCGATGACCTGGACGCCGTTGCCGAGGAGATCTGTCGCGATGTGGTGGAGCCAGAGGACCGAAAGCATTTGCAGGAGCAGCTTGAGAAGCCGGGCATGGCGCATCTGCGGCGGAATTTGGCGACGCGCGCGTTGAGTGGGAAAGACTTTTTGAAGCTTCCCCGTTCCGCCCTCATGACAGATGATGAGAAGCAGATGGAAGAGGCTCGCATTACAAAGATGATTGATGACCAGGAGAAGTTAAAACTTGTGAACGTCGCCGTCACAAGTCTTTTCAAGTGTCCCAACTGTGGAAAGAGGCGGTGCTCCTACCACGAACAGCAGACGAGGTCAGCTGATGAGCCCACGACGAAATTTGTGACTTGCCTTGAGTGCAAGTACACATGGACGACAGAGTAACGAACGGTATAAGGGCGGGAATGACGCAAATATGGGAGAGTACGAAGAACTGCATATAGGAAGAGAACCGAATGGAGGTACAAAGCGAAATAGAGAGAGAGAGAGAGAGATAAGTGGGGTGCACATGTGTCTGTCTGTGTGTGTGTTCTGACGACGTAGGGGAAGAAGCTGTATACGATCTACAAGGAAAGAAAGAAAGAAAAAAAAGTAACGAGAAGGTCTGGTAGAAATGAAACGAAGCAACTGATGCAAGATGAATAAATAGATGTGTTTGTTTTATTCTTTTTACTGGATTTTTTTTTCTACTTGGATTTACTTATGCGGTGCTGCTTGTCCCTTCCACTGTTTGATGCTTTTTTTTTTCTGTTTGTTTGTTTGTTTGCCTGTGATTGTCCTTGTTTTCTCCGACTATTGGTAGTTGACCCATGTGACTCCGTCCCGTTAATAAGCTAAAGAAAGAAAAATAAAACTACATCGGTCCCTCTTTCTTTCCATGCCTTTGCCTCTGCTGCTGATAGTGAGGAATTCCTGCGTGCGTGTTGTATCACAAATTTTGAAGTCTTTACTCTTTTTCCTTTCTTTTTTTTTTGTCTCGCGGATTAATGGGCGTTCTCGGTGTTCTACAGTGACATCAATTGTGTGGATTCAGGAGCCGAAGGGGAGCAGCCCGGAGCGCACCGAACCCTTTCTCCTCTGTCACTCCAATTACTCCAAATTGAGGTACTTCTTCTGCAGTACTAGCAGGCAGTGGCGGTTGCGAGGTTGCGTGGGCACGCTGGAGCTTGGCGAAGTAGTCAAGGGAGCATAACGGAAGGCAACACAAGCCCCACCCAAGGTGTCCAAAGTGGTTGGGTTGTGTTATTGAAGGAGGCGAAAGGGGAGACAACACGCAATTCGTGGCATCTCCCTGTTTTGTGTTGTCATACATATATATATTGTATTTTGCGTTCTCTTGTTGCGTGTGTGTATCCTTTGGGTTCATTGTGTGACTCGGTGTGGAGTTGCAATGGCCTTCCCGCTGAACACCCTCGTGTGGCTGAAGCAGCCAGAGTACCCGTGGTGGCCGGGGATGGTGCTTGACCCAGCCGCGCTGGAGATGGTGGTGCCTGCGGGGTACGACACCTGTGTGCTCTGTTTGCCGTCCGCGTCCTCCAGCGTGGCGTTTACAAACAGCAGCAACACCGAGGAGCTTATCCGGTTTAACCCGGCGACGGACGCGGAACTGCTGGAGGCAGGAAAAGAAAGTTCTGAATGTGCCGCGGCCATAGAGGAGGCACTGAGTGTCTACAGACAGCAGACACAAGGGAAGGAGGAGGAGGAGGGGAGGGGAGCCGCCGAACACAGAGATGGAGAGCGCAAAGGGCGGCACGTGCGGAAGGGAGACGCGCCGCGTAGGGCGGCTAAACATGAAAATAAGCGACATAAGCGGCGTGAACGCAATGAGTCGCCTCCCGTGGAGCGGCGTATCCGCCACGAAAATAAGAAAAGTGACAAGCGTAAATACAAGGAGCACAACAATGCTGAGAGTGACACCATGGAGGATTTAATTGAGAGCGACTATGACCGGAAATGTAGCAAAAGCACAAAGAATAAACTGGGCGAGATGGGAACTCTCGGCACAGTGGATCAATACGACAAAGAGTCGCGGTATGTGCCAACTCATCAGGAAGAAGATGCAGTCTACTTGGAGCACATGCTCCGTGAGAGACGCCAAGCTGCATCTGATACGACACTTCAAATTATACGAAACAAGTTGGAGGCGTTGGCAGTGGCTTGCAACCACGGGGGCGTAATTTCCGTCAGCGAGGCGGCAGAGGAGGCACTCCTTGACGCACTCTCCCCGCTGTCACTCGTGAGCATCACCCTTGACCAACTTCACCGTCTTAAGATAGGTGTTGTTGTGGGAAAATTCCTCATGAAAGACTACCCCGTCCGTGTTGTCTCGCTTGCTTCAGCGATTCTCACGTACTGGTTTCGCCAACTTCCACCTGCAACGCAGCAGCGTTTGAGTACACAGTCAGCACTTGAACTGGCGTCAAACGAGACAACAATTGGCTCGGAGTGCCAAGGCCTTTCGCTGGGCGCATTGGGTGTGCAGCTGGAGGCCTGCTTCACCGATGAGGAGGTGTACGACACAATCAACGAACCTGTTGTCGTCGCAAGGGGCATTGAAACGGAGCTTGAGGCCCTGGGTGACGAGGATGTCAGCAAGGAGGTCCTTACTGCATTGCGTGATAGCCAAAACACAGCTCTGCGCCGAGGTCTTCTCGACGGCTCCGTCACAGCCAAGGAACTTGTCGCGAACCCTGGCAACCCGAATGCTCTACTGCGGGACCCTGATGCTTTCTCGCCCTCAATGTCAGGGCGTTCGCCGGTAGAGCCGGAGTCCCCGCTGGCAGATGGACATGATTTCACGAATTTCACGACACTTTACGTATGCCCTGAGTGTGGGGCTCGCGAGGCGATTGCCAACGAGTACTCGGTGCAGGCGCACGACAACATGGCAGTTTTCGTGCGATGTCTCAAATGTGGTGAAACCTGGAATGTGGAGACGTAGTTTTTAAAAGGAGCATTCAGAGCCAAAAAAGAAAGGAAAAAATGAAAAGAGTACTTGGGCACTATGATGCACATCTAGGTTCTTTGTCTCTTTTCCCGCTGCCTGCCGTTTTCTTCCCATGACTCACCGCCGTGAACTTCGATGTTGGTTACATGCATCCATGGTGTACCTGTAGGTATATTTGTATGGGTGTATGTGTTATCAATTATTGTGTACCTTTGATTTCAGCAATCATTGTTTTTTTTATTTTCTTTTGGTTTACTTCTCCGCTTTTTCTCCTTTTTTTTTTCCTTTGCGAAAGGAAGGAATACGTTTTGTTTTCACACCGCGTTCTATTTGTGCACTGCGAGTTACAGCTCTCTTTTCCTGCAAAGAAGTGTGTACTGCATTCAGTTACCCACAGCGAAGTACAACGAAACATAAAAGGTAACAAAGGGTCCGTCGCACTCACTTTTCAAGAATACTAATTGTTTCTGTATACCAGTGCATATGGATACAACGGTGAAGCATACACACCTCGATGGCGACAACGTGGATCGTCTCCGTAACCCAAACCAAACGGAATCGCCAGAGCTTCGTCCACGAGGAGAGAGTATAAGTAATTTATACGATAAGCGCAATGAAGACAACGAAATTGTCAGTGAACATGTGGAGATTCAGAGTAATGAGACTGAAGATGTCTTGAGAAAGAAGTTCTCTCGCGTAAATGCGACGCTGACGCTGGTGGCTGGTTGGTTGTTTGCTTTGCTTACTCTCTTGTTCCTGACATTCATCGTGTTCGGCATTCTGTATTCTGGAATTCACTATCATGGCGCAGGCTGGCATGATCCTTCCACACCACCTAACTGTACTACGCCATTTGGCGCCATAATTGGTGTAACAAACGGTGTTTTTGCGTATAGCAACTGCAATGACATGTTTACCGGCGAGAACAACAATGCGCTTGTGGACAAGGACAAGTCCACTACCGGATTGAAGTGGCAATGTGTGGAGTTTGCAAGGCGGTATTGGATGCTTCGCGGGAGTCCTGTCCCTGCGTCGTTTGCTACCGTGGAGGGAGCTGCTGACATTTGGGCACTGACTTCTGTGCAGCTTCTCAACGGGTCAACCACGCCGCTGCTTAAGTACGCCAACGGCGTCTCAGTCCGTGCTGGCGGCTCCGCTCCACGTATTGGTGACTTGCTCGTCTACCCAAAGCAGGGGGACGGGTTTCCGTTTGGTCACGTTGCTGTTGTTGTGAGCGTGAAGAGCGAATCTCTCCTTGTGGCGGAGCAGAACTGGGATAACAATGTGTGGCCAGCGCCGCACCATGACTACTCTCGTGAAATTCCTATGCACCACAATGTCACTGAGGATACCTACAAAGTGATTGAGGCGGACAACGTCATCGTTACGGGTTGGGTGAGGTACGCCAAGTAGCAAATGAGCTTTCCTTTTTAATCTGGTTAGGAGCAACAAGTGGAGTGTTAAGCCTGAGAGGAAAAATATTGTATACGCCGCAGTGGGGATGGTGGTAGTCGAGATAAGCAACAGAAATGAGAAAATAAATAATAGTACATGTATGTGTAGATGAGTGGTTAATCGGAGGCAATGGAACCGGGCCGATGGATTCGTTGCAAACGGGGAAGCGCTGTGCGGGGTGGGTGAGTGTACAGGAACACTGGAGGCTGTTGTCTTTTGGTGTGTTTCTACTTGTCATCCGCATCCAGTCTTCCATCCGCAGCGTTGGGTTTCTCTTCGATAGTCACCATCTCAACAAATATACAGTCTCATATATGCTCTGAGGGGTTCAAGCATTGATAAGGAAGTATTGAGGGATTATATATATATATAATATATATATGTGTGTGTTTGTCTTGAGATGTGGATGGGGGATTTTTTTTTTAGTGTACGTTTTCCTGATCCTCTACGCCTTCCTTCTCGCACACTTGTCTTTGCTTGTTTGTGTTGTTTGTGCGCGGGGTTGGGGGGGGGCCGTCTCTTTGGCAGCACTTTTTTTTAATTTCTATTTTTTTCTCTTTTTTTGTTTGTTTGGTTTTTCTTAATTCTGGCATTATTGTCGACGACGCCGCGGTGTGCTGTTGGTGCTATCGGGATGTTGTGTTTTCCCCATTGGCTCAGCACAGTAGCTTGTTGGGCGATGTGTGTGTGTGTGTGTGTGGTGGTGGTGGTGGTGGTGATAGTGGTGGGGAAGGCTTCAACTGCCACGGGGGACGGAGGAAAACACACACACACACACAGAATAATACTAATAATAATAATAATGAAAAAAAGGGGAATTTTTTTTTTTGTATGGCTGAAAAAGATGAATTGAAACGTGAAGAAAAAAAAAGGGGGGAAATGTTTTTGTTTTGTTTTGTTTGAAAGCAAGTGAGGGAATGTGAGAAGAAGAGAAGGAAAAGTAATGAGAATGGTGAGCAATATCTGACGGGACACGAGGTAAATGATGCACCCTTGTATATATATATATGCCTGGATCAACCAGCTGAAGGAATAGTCCCCAACAGATGATTCTTTTTTTTTATCTCTTTTTTTTTTAAATACAGCACAACACTTAGGTGCCTTCGCATCAACGCCATTCTAATAGAACCGACGCTTTCTGGCGTGAAGCCATACTCTCCCGTCTCCATCATTCTCGTTTGTTTTTTTTTGTTTTGTTTTTTTTTGTGTGTGTTACCCATTTGTGTTGGCGCTTGGACGCTCAGCACACGGGAATAGGACATAAAGCGGGCAATGCTGAGGGTGGCATTAACAGATTCTACATCTGACATGCCCCCAGTAGCAGCTCCCGCGCTGTAAGAGGGTCTGGAAGGAAATAGGGAAGTGGAGGCGGCGTTATGAAAAATATGAAACTAACTGGTGCTAAAGCTAATACACCATGCAAAATCAAAATCAAAAACAAACAATTATTTACGAGATTATTAAAAATAAAATAAAAACAAAGGCGGGGATTGTGCGTGCATTACATGTAGATTAACGCCTCTCTCAGCTTCTCTCTGCACCGTATGCGTGTGGACCAGGCTCACACATTTCATGTATCCGGCTTCCCTTTTTTTTTCCGGCTTTTTATTTTTCGGTGGGTGTATGAGCTTTTTTTGGTTATCTCCGTATTCCCCACAAAGGGGTACTAATGCGGCATTGAAGGTGACTCGTTGACTAGTGACGAAGCAGACTAATAAAAAAGGGTGACGGTAGAGGAAAGGAGTCGTGAGAGTGCTTGCGCACTTCTTTTTCACCATCATAAGAGGAAGTAGAGAAACAGCGTATACCTCACGAAGAATGTCGTTGAGGCAGGTAAAGAAGCGAACGCGACAAGTGTCTTGCGTTAATAAGGGCTCATTTACGAGGAGATTGCGCTGGCCGTCACTGTCGTGTTGTATCATTGCACCCGGTATCTTGGGCCTCCTCGCATGCCTGGTGGCGTTGCTGCATACGATGTGCCCAATACGCCAGTTAGACACCCTCGTTGAGGGAAATGGCACTTCTCCGTTCCACGAGGGATGCAGCATCGGGTGCGACACGACATTTGGGTCAATTTTAGGCATCTCAAACGGTGTCTTTGGCTACAGTAACTGCAATGCCACGACCTGCATCTCCAATAAGTGGCACCCAATACACACATTCATGACTTCTGGTGGTTTCACTGGAAGGAATATCTTAGCTCCTGAGAACACGAGCGGAATAAAATGGCAATGTGTGGAGTTTGCAAGGCGGTATTGGATGCTTCGCGGGAGTCCTGTCCCTGCGTCGTTTGCTACCGTGGAGGGAGCTGCTGACATTTGGGCACTGACTTCTGTGCAGCTTCTCAACGGATCAACCGCGCCGCTGCTTAAGTACGCCAACGGCGTCTCAGTCCGTGCTGGCGGCTCCGCTCCACGTATTGGTGACTTGCTCGTCTACCCAAAGCAGGGGGACGGGCTTCCGTTTGGTCACGTTGCTGTTGTTGTGAGTGTGAAGAGCGAATCTCTCCTTGTGGCGGAGCAGAACTGGGATAACAATGTGTGGCCAGCGCCGCACCATGACTACTCTCGTGAAATTCCTATGCACCACAATGTCACTGAGGATACCTACAAAGTGATTGAGGCGGACAACGTCATCGTTACGGGTTGGGTGAGGTACGCCATGTAGTGTAGCATGTTTGCGAATTCCGAGAAGGCTGTTTTTCCGTTGTTGTTTAGTTTGCCGAATAATGGACGGTTGTGTATATATCCAGTCTTTGCGTAGGAGCAATGCGAATGTTACTTTGCTTGCCTGCTGATTTTTGCACGTGCTTTGCGGTGCAGAAGGAACAATAAGATGGTTGGCATAAACATTATTTTTAAAAAATTGTTTCTGCCAACCTACTTTCCCTTTAAGAAGCAAAAAAAAAAAAAGAGTGGGAGAGAAGGAAGTGGGAATTCAGTGAGTTGAACCAAATTCTATACTTTTTCAGGTTTTATTTATTGGCTTTTGGCGATAGTATTGCAGCTCGTCACACGTGTTAGTGCAGGCGAATATATCTTTTTTAGTAAGGTGCTGGCGATGATGCGTGCCGTGGAAGTATCACCCCCAGCGACGGCGTCCAAGGAAGCTGCGGCCGCGTCGACTGAACGCACCCCATTGCTGAAGTTCCATCCACGTCCGATTGAAGTCGGGTCGATGCAGCAGCAGGAAGAGATGGATGAAATGTCCTTTTGGGAGCGTGTTTCCTCCCCGCTTCATCCGGTGTTGAACAAGGTGCAGGAGCACTGCCACTATGAGTGGGTGGCGGCTTTGTTGTCAGCCATAATGTTGGTGGCGCTTTTTGTGATTGTATTTTATCTGGACACCCCGCCCAGGCCGGTGCACTGTGTGACGCCGTTTGGTGAACTGTTAGGGGAAAGCAACGGCGTATTAGCCTTCAGCAACTGCAACAGAGACTATCGCGACGTGGAGGAGCACTTTGTACTTGTCAAGACATCACAGGTGCACAGCGGTTTGAAGTGGCGTTCCGTAGAGTATGCGCGACGGTTTTGGTTGCTTGCAAAGCAGCCGGCAGTGCAGTTCATGTCCGTCACGTGTGCAGAAGATATATGGACAAGGGTCGATTATGCCTATTACATCAATGGGAAACGCGTCAAACTCTTGAAGTATGAGAACATGATGGCCTGTGACCAAGCCCCGCTGTCAAAGACAACTATGAAAAAGGGTCAGTGGAAACATTACGGTCCGCAAATTGGGGATCTACTTGTCTACGCAAATGACAGCCGTCTACCAGGCGGACACGTCGCTGTCGTTGTGGGCCGAGTTTCACAGCCACCCCATGCCGTTTCTAACACGTCGTGGATTAGGCAATGCTCCCTGCTCCTGGCAGAGCAAAACTGGGATAATGCGCGATGGCTTTACAACGAAACCTTGAGGGGGAGGGACACACCAACAAGCACCGCAGTGCCTCTTCACTACTCACGCAAGGTCTTACTGCAGGAGGTGGATAGCACACGAAAGATGTGTGTGAAAGACCCACGTGGAACCGTGCTCGGTTGGGTTCGTGTGTGAGGTAAAACGCGTGAATGTGACAAAATAAGGAAGTGATATATATATGTATACATATATATAATCTGTGCGCCTGTGTTTACACCTTCTCCAAGACGAAAAATGACAAGACCAAAAGGTGTGACATGGTGCCGATGGAGCGAAATAGTTGGACATTTATATCGAACGGGTGATTATGGAATGTGTACCTCCGCCGTGGAAGGAGGTCGTCAAAATCAGGGCTGGTATTCGCCCTGTACATTGCTTCATTGAATACCACCATTTATTCTTCATGTCCTTGGCGTGTAATTGATGTGCATTAACCATGGACCTATTATATATATATAATATATATATTGTTATCTATTTTTTTTTCTCTTTATTGTTGTGTGAGATATATATATATAAAGCGGGGCTGTTGATGCCACCGCGCCGGTGTTATTGTTGTTTTTTATTTCACCTCTTCCCCTTTCACCACATACGTCGTGTGTGTCATCTCCTGCTTTACTTCTTCCTCGTCATGCTCGTTTATACAGGGGGTATTAGAGCAGGTGGTGATGGTGTCAAAAGACTCCCGCTACGTGCACCGTCGCTGGCGTCTTGAGGACGCCACTCTGATGATTCAGAACCCAAAGCTGGAGCTGCTCGTCGACTTTGACGACCCTGCAAGCTTCACTCTTCCGGAAAACGCGCCGCTGACGTCAGGGGTTCGACGGGCTACCGCAACGAGGGGGGGCATCGAGGGTGCGCTTGGTCTCAATTCAGACGACGACCTCCTGGCGGATTGGCGGGATATTGGCGTGCCGCCACTGACAGAGGAATGAGTTGGCGTCGCTAGAGTTCGTCGCGAAGGAGAGGTAACGAAGGTCGACGCACCGCATGGTTGTGGGAGAAGTAGGCAGAACCGCGAAGAAAGTTGTGACATGCGCAAAAACAAGCGGATGGATTATTTTTTTCTTGTTATTGTTGCGTGGGGAGAGGATGTTGCCGCATGTATATCCACTCCCTGCACCGTTTTGTTTTTGTCTCGCTTCTTTCCTTGCTTTATTTCTCACTCCGCCTCTACGTCTGCTTCTATGCGGGGTAAGGGAAGGAACAACACGGGAGGGACGGCTCTTAGATGAGCACGGCGTCCTGCAAAGAGACGTCGACCGGCGAGGCGCCGCGGCGTGCAGGAAGCGACCTGCTGCTTCGAAAGCTTCCTCTCCTCGCCAAAGTCCAGGCGCTCGAGCAACAACACCCGAAGGACCCACAAGCAGAATGCAATCTGCTCTGCTACGGACCGGAGGTGTATCGCATTCACTCGATTGCGTGCCGCCGAGATGACCGCGGCGTCCTGCAGTCGCGACGAGGTGGACGTCTAGGGGAGGAAGACGAAGGTGACGGCAATGACGAGAAGAAAAATTTTCTATCAAAGATGGATGCCGCGGTAGCACTTCCAACACACATGTCATTTCTGGCCATGATGGAGTTGGAGCTTCGGAAGTCAATGGAGTCCCTGCAGGACGCCCGCAGAGGGAAGCAGGGCCTGGAAGGGGGGATTGCGAATGCAAAAGGTGCAGCGGAGTCCACCGGCGATAAGAAGAAGAAAAAGCATGGAGCAAATTGGGATGCTCATAGGAAGCAGAATGGTGAAAGTGATGAAGGAGAAACTGATGATGATGAAAGAGTGAAGGATATTCTTGGCACCACACGAACCGGAGTGGAAGTTGGGGTGGGGGGTGAGGAGTGTGTCTTGTTGCGTGCCATTCGTGCGCCTCGGGTGGTGGCGCATGCGAGGGGCACAACAATTCCAACGGGGGAGGCGGGCCTCAGCAACTTCAGAAATGGCAATAGAAACAGTGATGCTCGCGACGGAGCTGGAGACGGGTGTATGCCGTGGGAGCAAATGCTGGAGAGCATCATGAGTCATTACGACGCCACGGATGATGACAAGGGTGGGAAGGCTGTTCAATCGTACCTCCGCCGAGTATCATGGATCGAACGGCAGAAAAAACTGCAGTCGGGGCTCGGCGTGGCCGCAGAGACGCTTCACCAAAATGAACAGCCGTGGGGGAGTATGACGGATGCGATGCGAGTGCAGAAGGAGATGCAGCGCATGCGTCTTCAACGGAAACGATTCCGTCGTTTGCATAAAGGATGAATTAAAAAAAAAAAAAAATGAAGAAATGATGTAATGTGAATTGGGTGTTAGATGAATGATAGATCACAATTTGTATGGGTTACCGTTTTCCCTCTGCTCTGTTTATATGCACCTCTATCCCTTTGTCTTTGATTATTATTATTTTTTCTCTCCGTGTGTGTGTGTGTGTGTGTCGGCTCACTCCCATCACTGGGGGACAGTCACCGCGTACCTATCACATAGGGTAGTGGTGGAAGAAGGAGATATTTTGTTGCTAGTTTTTATCTTCCTTCTTTGGCCATAATGCAAACACAACCGAAGGACAAAGGTGGAAGTGATATAGAACAAGAGCTTGCAGTTTGGCAAAAGGGAGCGGAAGACGTTGAAGGGGAGTGTAGGAGAGAGATGCCCTACTCTTGTGCCAAGTGCGAGTGCGAGTGCGAGTGCGAGTGCGGCGAGAGATAGCTATGGCATCCACGTGGGAACTGGCAAGGATCCACGCAATAGGGGAAGGCGTCGATGTTGTGGTTACGATACACCAGTACTTCCCACTGCCCAAAGATCAGGGGTGCGTGGGAGATGGAAAGGAAGCGGAGCTTCCTCGAGCAGCGTCACAAGCCTCACAGACTCATTGAACAGCCATGAAATGCCTCGCCAACCCACACAGGTGCCAAGCAGGGCCTTCTTACATCATACTTCTGACCTTAGCAGTAATAGTTTTAGTAGCTGTGCAAGTAGTGGCGGTTATTATATTCGTAATAAATGTGGCAGTGATTGGATCCAATGCTCTGAACACGCTCAGCATGAGCAGAAAGGACTAGAGCCGGAAGAAAGGCAGCAGCAGAAAATATTACACGGTGATGAGGAGGAGTCAGGTAAAAGAACAGAAAGGATGTTGTCCTTGTCGATGCCCCGAATTTTTTCGCTTGATGCTTCGTTCTCGCTTGAAACTGAGAAGACAGTCGTGCGTGCAGAAGACAAAGCGAAGGAGAAGGACGTGTCACTCAATGCCGATATCGCCACCTCCGCGCAACAGTCTTTGACAAAGTTGTGGGAGACAACACAAGCTAAGCGTAGTTCCGGGAGCTCGAATGGTTTTTCTGCACGTCCGACTTTTGGTTTCTCGCTCTCAGTACGGTCTGATCTGACGTGTGTAGAATTACCCCCCTTTGAGATGCCCGCCTTTATCTCATTGGATTTTTCAGAAAAGCCAACTCACAATCACGAGGTTGCTCTGGAAGCCGACGAGGACTTGCGAGATAAAAAAAGACGCGAGATCCAGATTTGTCTTGTGCCGAAGCAGGAACTCAAGTTGAGAACTAGTCTTGACGCCGGGTGTGGAGGTGCACGTGCTAGTTTTCAATTTCCCCCTTCGCTTGATGATGCTGAAGCACAGCTAGGGCGTGTTAAGCCTATTTGTCGTCCGTTTATATTCTTTATTCTTATTGGTTTGCTGCTTCCATTCGCAGCTCAAGAATTGATTGTGGTGGTAAACCACTTTGCAACGTCTGGGCCGATGGTGTGTGGAGGAAAAGAGATTGACTGCAGTTTGGCGGATACCATTGTGTTTGCTCTCACCTATGGAATACATCTCTACATTCCATTTTCATTTTTCGCCCCGACACTGTTTTTCCTTGCATACGATGTGGTTGTGAGGAAAGAGCAGGAGCAAGAGTCGCGTTCCCGCATGGCTTGCTATGCAGTGCCAGACGACACCACTTCTCTTGCTTGCACCCACACACTTACCTGCGTGAATGACCAATTTATCCCATCACACTGTGAAAACACACGAGCTTTCGATGAACAAAGTCATGCGTCCCAGCTTCAGTGGGACTTGCCTCCATGTGTCGGTGTGTTGCGTCGAGGCGCAGTATTTTGGGTGATTGTTCTGGCACGTTTTGTTTGTTTAGTTACGGTGGACATACATTTGCCGTTTGTGACAAAAATACCAGCAGCTTTGTGGGGGCCCATGCGTTTAGTCGCCTTGGCGTTACCGCTCACGATCTATTCGCTCTACGAGACTCGACCTTTTTTTGCCGTGCCGTACGTCTTAATGGATGCCTTTTCCCTATTCTTTCAGCTTATACTGGGGAACAACGGCATCCAGATACAGACTCGCTGCATGGCAGGCCCAATGCTTCTGGTTCTCTTTGAACGATGTTTCTGGTACGTGTCTGCAGCTGCCATGCCAAAGGAGGTCCCAGTGGGGATTAAAATGGTCGTGAGCTCCACCTTCACCGCTCTTTATTTTCTGTTGCTACTGGCGTTATCGATTCCTGTGGATATCAGGAACAGTTTTTATGTGACAATTGTCATGGCCGTTCAGATTTTTTTTTGGGAACTTCTGTTTAATGTTCGACTGCTGGAAGTTGTTGCGTGCCGCTTATACGCCTTTTTCATGAAGTTCGTATTTCGGCGAACGTTCAAGGTCTCCCAAGTGCAAGCAGCAGATCCGACAAATATATCCACGCAAGTGCGTTGGCCAACTTTGTTGATTTCCACCGTTGCCATTGCTCCATTTTTTCAGTATCATCAATGGCCTCGGTTCATACCACATAGTGATGAGCGTGGGAGTGTGTCGGAAGTCTTCCATGTATACGTTGCCACGTTTTTTGTCGTCATAGGCGTCATCATCTTGGCCACCATTATCTCGCTTTTCATCCGCTGGAAGCACCAATTGCTACGCATGCCGTTAATTATGGAGGATTGGTTTCTGTTGCTTATATGGGGGTGGTATGTTTTCTCCTCAGTGCCATTAGCGTTAGCTGCAGTTGTGTGAAGAAGTCACAATTCCTTGTTTTGTATTCTTTATATGTTTGCGTGAGAAAGAGAGAGAGAAGGTTGGCTCCAATCTGCCTCGTTTGTTTTGCCATTCACGGAGGACAACTCCAGCAGCCATGTTTACTGCATCTTGTTTTTTCTATTCATGTTTTTTTTAAAAAAAAAATATGTATATGCATATACATATAGTTGTTTTTTTGTGCTTATGTGTATACTGGTGTGTTATTTAAAAGAAGAAACAATAAAGGAGGGAGTGGGTGCCTTCCTCTGGAGGAAAGCCTGAATGTGGTTTGTGGAGCCCAAACCCCCTTCTGTACAGGTGCTGTTGTGCATCGTTCTTCTCTTAAGTTTGTTTCAGAAACCATGAGAAGGGAAACTGTTTTGTGGCATGCAGTGAGATTTGTCCTCCATCCCCACTTCTCCACACGCCGCACATTTTACGGCGGGCGGGGACGGCTTCAGTGTCGCTAAATCCCCACCCGCGACAGGCAGGCGCTGGAGTGCGCGGGCACCATTGGAGGCATTCGAGCGACGGCGGCCCTATTGCTTCCACCACACGTTTCAGCGAGGAGGGGTGGGCGGGTTTAGCCGCATTTGGCGTGTCCAGGGAGGACAATCTCAATTCACAGAGGTTGACTTGCACAAATACGGTTTAGCCGTCCTGCAGTGCGGTGCGCCGACGCCATAAGCCACAATAAGGCCGCGTAACATTAGTGGCACCGGTGGCGTCTGCTTCTTCGTGGTGGTCAATGAGCCGTAGGGCTATAATCATTATGAATTCTCTTTCTCCTACTGTAACTCTGGTGCTTTTGCACGGAGGGGGAGTGTGGCGCTTATGAGGCCCCAGATACGATCCTTTCGTGAGTGTGAGAAGGATCGCCCTGTTATTCTGGAGCGTCGTTTGAGTGTATTTGTTTCTTGGTCTGTACGTGTGTGTTGGATGAATATCCTCTTAATTGGGGAACGGCGGGCGTACGCAGAGGCAAACTGTCACCGCCTTGTTTTGCACCTGCCCTTTTTTTCTTTTTTTCGTTTGGGAGTATGAAGCGGAAAGGCCTTGTCCAGGCACAATCTTCAGTCATACTGCTTTCCGTGTGAAACAAGTCAGCTCGTTAACTTACCACATGGGGCATGTTGTTTCGCTTCTGGTTCTACTTTCCCTTCTATCGTCACTGGCCGCTACCTCAGCTGCAGTCCACGACAGGATTCCCTCTGACGATAATGATGTGGCCTCTGAATCTGGTGCTGCGACTGGAGCTGTTGCTGTATCAAAGGTGTCCGCCAGCTTGATACTTCGTGGAACAAACAACACCACGGACACGCTACACAACTCCACGGACACGCCACACAACTCCACGGACATGCTACACAACTCCACGGACACGCTACACAACTCCACGGACACACCACACAACTCCACGGACACACCACACAACTCCACGGACACGCTACACAACTCCACGGACACGCTACACAACTCCACGGACACGCTACACAACTCCACGGACACGCTACACAACTCCACGGACACGCTACACAACTCCACGGACAC